TTAACATTTGAGCCGCGTCACGACAAAACCAACATAATGGGTTTGCGACCAGCATGGATCCAGACCAGCCTACGCATCCAAGCAGTCTGATCAGGATCCATGCTGTTCGCTTACAGACCCTATAATTTAACAAGTAGAGAAACTGATAGCGAACAGCATGGATCCTGATCAGACTGCGCAGATGCTGGTCGCAAACGCACTATGTTGGTTTTGTCGTGACGCGGCTCATTTTAGATTAAATATTCTATTTAGAAAATATGATATCAAGCTCATTATTAGAAACCCCTTTCTTCAGATCATGCCTTATAATTTTAGAAAAAAGTTTAACACGGTGCATGTCTTTATAAAAATGTAAACATATACATGTAGTATAATTATGGTGTGTACATAACCAAATCACTGGTTCATACTTAGGCGGTGGGCGTGGTGAAACATCGCTCATTGTTGAGTTGCAGAAATTGAAACATGGAAAGACATTGTTAAAACATTTTAATGTTCCGCCATGGTATACTTCTTTGTCATGCGAAATACCACTTTTTATAATTAGCATGAACATTCATTGCATTGTATGTCACCTAATTGTTTTCAGCAGAGAATGGCCTGTGCGTGAGCAAAGAGGGTACCGTTTTAGTAGATTCCGCAAAGATGGTACCGTTTTAGTAGATTCCGCAAAGATGGTACCGATATGGATATGAAACTGGTTATGTATAAACTCAACCAAACCGAGTCTGCAATTTTCATGTCATTTTGTTGTTTTAAAGCATTCGAGAGATCGCTCGATCTCAAGAATTTTTAAACTGAGAAGCAGTCAAAAATGGTCTGAAATTAAAATGTTGAAGAAAAAAAAGAGGCACATTAAGCAAAGAGTGTATTATCAAAACATTCTAAAGATTTTCTTACAAGTCGTAGCATTTTATCTACTGAAAATGTAAAAAAACAACTGATTTTAACTTAAACATTGTGATGAACTGACCTAGATAATGGTTTTAGTGAGAAAGCATTTGATTGAGCTATATCTTCATTTAATTAAAGGTGGTAATTTATTAAAAGTGGTTGACAAAATTTACTTATACCACACATATATTTTTGAATGTAAACAATTGTTTAAAAAGGTTCCATCGAGGGCAATTGAAACAATGCAAATAGTCGACTACATGTGTAGTTGCTTCAACTTCATTAATGAAAATGTAACATGCTATGATTGGAAAATTGTATATCTAATACTTAGTTCTGTGTACATTTTTAAAAATTCTTCCTTAATCCGAACTGCAATCCAAAAATCTATCAAAAATTTAAAAAAATAAAACCCACGTCTCGTTCTACTTCTAAAATCCTATCTAAAATCCTATTTAACATAACGTTTTTGTAATTTTTCAATTCCTATTACGATTTGTTCAAAAATTGAATCAATGATAATTTCTATTTTTTTCCTAGTAATCAATACATGTAATAATAATAATTTCGAACAAAAAATGATTATTGGTACGGTGTTGTAGTAATACAACATAGGTGTCAATTGATATGAACATGATATGAACATGAAGAGGGGTTTTGTATAATGTTATGCAAGTAACTCCGCATTTATGTATGAATTGCCTGTATCTTATCACGTACAATATACTGAAACAAAAAAAAAACTTTCTAGATATGTGAGTACAGTTTTTCAATCCTTTTGAAACTAGCTTTTTACGTTGAATAAACATATCGGGCTTTTATACGGGGATTAGCTGACCGATTTTGCAAACAAAACGAGTTTTACAAGCTACTACATGTATATAAGTGTGTACATCTAAGTGGTACCCTTGAACAACTGGCACATACTTTGCGAAAGTTTCTTTTTTGGTTCAGTATATATCCTATAATAAATTGATATACCTCAATTTCATCGCCTCTCCTTTTTCTTGCTTGTAACTGGTTACCAAATAAGTGGTAGGATAAATAAATTGTAATATTTTACTAGATCCCAAGATATTGAACTTTGTCGAATTTCTTTTCAATGGAATCAAGTGTTGAAGATTTGAAAAACTAAAGAGCTTTGTAGTTACTGTTGCTACTTATAACATGGGTATCGAGAGTAAGAGTATTAAATACCACTAAGAAATTGTTTAACAGTATTTTTAATAAATTTAAAAATTAACAATGCTTCGATTAAAATTAAATAGCTTTGCTGTAAGATTTTGTTTTCTCGTTTAGGGCAGACGTTTTCTTTTACTTGGGGACCATTCGCTGCTTATCATGGAATGACACGGAAGTGTCACATTGAAAGTTTCATGTTTACCGCCGTATGGACACATCTGTAGATGTTTCTAAATTCAAAATTTCACCATTTTTGGTTTAAGGTTGAATTCTGCATAAGCCCTTGCTGGTGGGCATGAACGGTTGTTTGCAAATACCACTACCGTCCATAAACAGGCTCAGTCAAACCGGGTAGCCTGCACAATTTTAATCTAGCTGTTTTGGGCGTTCTTTAGTGATTTTTATGCTCCCCGAAAAATTTCGGGGAAGCATGTAGTCATCGGGTTGTACGTCCGTCCGTCAGTCCGTCAATACGTCCCGAATTCGTGTCCATCCCATAACATTGTTAATCACAACTATTTCACAGAAATGATCACAATATTGAGACGACGTGTCGTGCGCAACACGATGACCTTACAAAAAAATCGTGTCCGGCCCATAACTTCGTTATTTGAAGTCGGATTTTACAACTATTTCACAGAAATGATCACCATATTGAGACGACGTGTCGCGCGCAACATTTGGGTCGCTACCTTGAAGGTCAAGGTCACAGCATGACCTTGCAGCAAAATCGTGTCCGGCCCATAACTTCGTTATTTGAAGTCGGATTTTACAACTATTTCACAGAAATGATCACCATATTGAGACGACGTGTCGCGCGCAACATTTGGGTCGCTACCTTGAAGGTCAAGGTCACAGCATGACCTTGCAGCAAAATCGTGTCCGGCCCATAACTTCGTTATTTGAAGTCAGATTTTACAACTATTTCACAGAAATGATCACCATATTGAGACGACGTGTCGCGCGCAAGTCGGAAGTTAGATCTCATTGAGTAGAAGAACAGTAACTCTGTCTTGTCTAAGTTTGAAATTATCACACTTTGAACTTTGTCTGGGACATAACTCAGAAACTACAAAAGATATACTTTTCTGTGTCCAAAACCTAGTCGGGGAGCATCACCTGGTTCAACCAGGCTCTTGTTTTGTCTATTTTGAAATGCATATTTTTCCTTGTTTAGAGAATTCATGACATTCTGAACCTTAAAATGGTTAGTCATATAATTATTGGACTGTCTTTATCACCTATATTTTTGTACAATGATGATACAAGTATAATTCCAAGTTTTCAAATGTCTGGGAAAATCGATATTATTGGTTTGTTTTCGTTTTTTGTTTGGATTTACGTTGCAACAACAAAGTATGCCATATGGCAACTTTCCAGCTTAATGTTGGAGGAATATACCAGGTGTCCTTCCGTGCATTATTTCATGCACGAACTGCATGGCACCTGTATAGAACCACAGACGTTCCGTAAGCTAGCTCGATAGCTACCTCAATTGAAAGAAACCAAAGTCATGCAGGATTGTAATCAACAGCAGTGACGGGAAAGTAGTTTGAAGCCAACGACCAAAACCACTCGGCCTGAAGAAAACAAAAATAAAAAACTTATAAAAAAAACGTTGAAAATGTACATTTAAGGTATACAGTATGCTCATTGTTTGCATATTTATTTTTTATGTAAGTTGTATCAAATGATAAACAGGCATGGATCGACATTTATTTTAACAAAATACATTTCAAATCCGAATCTTCTTCTGCATGCCACACTCCTTTAATTCTGTGTGAAGGTAATGCGTGGGCACTGGTTATTTTTATATTGTTTTACAAAAGCGGAATATTTAAAACTTTGTACATGCATGTATATATAGAATGATTGTTGAATTAATTCATCAATATTGATACCAGTACTTAATGTGAAAGACACACTTACAATTGATTTGAATGTTTCTACTTTGACTGCTGTTTGCGAACAGGGTCTTTCAAATAGAATTCTATTTGAAAGACCCCGAGCACTGCGCATAATCAGAGACATAGATAACAGAGATAAGCAGCTCCTATAAACTCCATTGAAATATCACTTCTGCCTATCAAAAAGTGAAAAATTAGGCATTTTGTAGCAAATAAAACTTAATGGATGGACATTTGATCCTTCAATATTATATACCATTTGAAAGGTAAATCTTTTATCTATTACTGCATGTCAAAATATTGATAACTTCCCATGCCTTTCACTTAGAAAAACATGGCAGAACATACCCACAGAGCCAGTTTCTTGTCATATGAATAGTTTTGTAACAAAAATTATTATAGTAGTTCTCTTTAAAAGATGATGTAACATTTATTTAAATAGGAACTATATATATTTTTACCTGCAGCCATAGACAAATGCATAAGCTTTCAGAAAACATAATATTTTACTGATTTTGATATCTGGTTAATAAGTTTTACTTGCTTTAGCAGGCACGCGTGATATTTTAACTGGCTAGGAATTAAGTTATCTATGTCTCTGGCATAATTAAGGATTTGTAACCATGATTGAATATGAAAAGCATAGTGTGTTTAGCTAGGATATGGATTCTTATTTTCACTATTTGAGGTTTTAAATTTGACAATATTATAATTTTAGCACCTACTGTAAATATACTGTTTCATTGACCGGTTGTTCTCGGGTAAAATTGTACGAACCTTTAGATGCAGAAATATGTTTTAATAGCTATTTTGGCTGTTGTTCTTTTTTTTCTTGTTCTGTTAACAGATGGTATGAGACCTATTAGCCAATTTTTATGATTGTAAATTATTTTATAGAACATAATTCTACGGGCTTTTTGCTATTTCGGATTTCAAAAGGGATACTGATATTTATTAACGAACTGGTCGTATTGATTCATTTCGTGAAAAAGCTTCCTATTGCACATAAGATTTCAAGCGTTTCAGGCGATAACCTTGATCATCACAACATGCGTTTCATGCACCGATTATGAAAAAAACTTTATTGCAATAATTTTCTGTATATTTGTATGAAGTAATACACAATGAAGATTCTTTTACATTCAAAACATCTGTTACAACATGGATCATTTATTTTCCGCAAGGTAAATCGTAAATTGAAGAAGATAAAATTACGTAAATTGCATTCGTTCTCAATTATGTTCGTAGCCACAATTTCAAGAATTTCAGATAATTTACATCTCTATTATAAAGTATCTAGTAATTAATCTATAACACAAAATTTGCGTCATCACTTATTAAACGTAACTGACAAAATTTCCATGTTTCGGGTGTTTACATTGATCAGATTTCACCTATCTAATCATATTATTATTTAGCCCGGTGTTCTATGATATCACGGTACTTAAATTTTAATGGAAAATATTTAATTATAAATATCATACATGAATAAGATTTTCCTTCTATTTAATAAGTGAATCTTTTCCAAAACTGTTTGTCAAAAAATTATTTCAAAAGTGTCTTTATAAACTATTTACAATGTCTGCCAATTTGGGTAATAACTTATATCAGAGGAGGTAAGTAACTACAGTATCACGGTAATCCCCAAAAATGCATGTATGGAAGGATAGATGGGTCAAAATCTTCAAGTTAAGCGAAAAACTTCCAACAGTTTTCTTGCTATAACATTCAAACTATATGAAGAGATGATATGTCAATATCAGATCTTTCCCCAGGTGCTTTAAGCACCGCGATCCAGCTGTACCTTAATCTCCAAATCAATCTCACAGGTGTGCCATGAAAGTCACCGTGGGACTTGATTTTTCCAATCCCTGTTTACAAATTTGTATAGCACGAATTGGCGTCTTTTTTGTTTATGATGACTCTATGTCTTTAATACAGTACTTAGATTTTGATGTAGCAAACATAAAAATAGCAAAAAATTTCGAACATGGGACGGGGGCCTACCCCCTCCCACACCTACTCACCATTTTTGCGAAAACTTGCCCTTTGCCTTGCAAAATTCCTGGGGAAAGGCCTGAGTATGTGTGATTGTAACATATTTTAATAGACTGTGTAAATACAATTAAGGGAAATAGTAGTCAAATATGAAGATTTTATAAAAATGTTGTCTTTCCTCAAATATATTCATAATTCACAAAATTAAATTTATTGGCAGATGAAAGTGAATTGAGTGTGCCAGTTTTAAAAATATTAGCATCATCGTGTGTTTCTTATATTCGCAGTCACAGAAAATGTAAATACCGTGATATCATAGAACCCGTGATATCACATGAACAGAGTATAAGTTTCACTGGGATACAACTTAACAGTCTGTTGAAATTTTGTGCCTCTGAAACTACCATCATTTTCAGTATGATCCTATATTTGTAGTTTTATCTGATGAACTGCTCCAAACTTTTTTATCTAATTTATTTATGATTTATTATAAATATAATTATTTTTCATTGCAGAATTATGTTTACCAAACAGCCTTGTATTCAACTAAAAAAGTTGGGGTAAGTCTGGGACACTTTAATGTTTTGTTGATTATAACTTGTCTATTTGAAGAATGGTACGCATATAATTAAAATTACATGTATATGTAATCCTAAAGATATATATATATGTGACATTCAGTCGCACCATGAATACAAGTACTACTTAAAGATTTTTAGATAGACTTTTTGATGAATAATGGAGCTATCTAGCCTATCCTACTCACCCAGTGTCATGCATGGGTTTGCCTAAAATACGAAAGTGAGATTTTTGACGAAAGTGAGCGAAAGTGACTTTAAAAATATTAATTGTAACCTTTTAATAGACTTTTACAATAAAATTGCAGTTTGTAGACGTATATTATTAGAAATTACTTATATTTATTATAAAAAATAATCATAATGATGATTTATTCGGTTTTTATTTGCATAATTTATATACACAAATTCTTATATCTTCCTTTCGCTTACTTTGAAAAATACGAAAGTGACTTATAAAATATAAAATATACCGTTTAAATTGAAATTATTTTTACTAATATTGCACAAAGTGGACGTATAATATCAGAAAATGATAATATTTACTTTCAAAGATAATCATTATGATGATTTAATCGCCATTTATTTTACATAATCTCTATACACAAGTTATATACAGAGATCTTCCTTTCGCTCGCATTGAAAAATACGAAAGTGGCTTACAAAATATCAAATATACTGTTTAAATTGAATTTATTACTAAAATTGCAATTAATTTGTAGACGTACAATATCAGAAGTCAATTATATTTATTTTTGAAAATAATCATTATGATGATTTATTCGCCCTTTATTTGCATTACACAAGTTAAAAGATCTTCCTTTCCCTCACATTGAAAAATACGAAAGTGACTTCAAAAATTCAAATATAGCGCTGAAAGACGCATGTTTTCAGAAATGAATAAAATATATTTTAAAAAAAAATCATTATAATGATTTAATATCCATGTATTTTCATAATTGCTGTATACCTGTTCTGATATCTTACTTTTGTCCACATTGAACAATACGAAAGTGACTTAATCGGACGAAAGTCAATGTCAATATTCACGATATAAATGTTTTTATAATAAAAAAATAAATGAGTCATTTTCATTATTATTCATGTTTTCATGGTAATTGACCTATAACTGATGATGAAAATGACTAGCACAAAATATATAAAAAAAAATCCTAACTTATAAAAAGATTGAACTTTACCGATATATATAATACGATATTTATAGAAATTTCCGTGGATTACTTATTTCCTTTTTTCATAGTGAAATATTATTTTAACAATGATGGGAAATTCCAAATTATTTTTAAAATTAACATGTACATTGCTCATCTACACCTGGATGAGCATATATATATAATAACTGCCACTTTAATCCGTGCAAGATATCAATGGTGGTGCAGAAGAAAGGTTAATTCAATTGTCCACTCAATAAACAACCGGGCAAGTGTCATCAGTTACATACCTATGATTGGATTATAATAATACTTTAGTGGGATTAAAGCGTCATGCGGTAACCGTCGTGATTACTATCAATTAAAGTGGATGCGAAAATGATATGACAACACGTGTTTGCACGTAAACGTATTCATACTTTATTTTGTCTTATTCGTATACATGCATTTTTAAACATATATACAACTATTCATATAAAACCTACATAAGACCATTCCATTTAAGAATTTCAAGAGACATTATAATAATGAGAAACACATTCAAGACCTATTACTGTTAGATTAGAATCAAACAGTATAATTACAATATAATATATAAACAGAATATTAAATGTTAGGTAACACCATCGTTAATCAAAAATTAAAAACTGCCCGAAAAAGACGATGTAAGAAATTGAGAACTGTACTTAAATCAGAGCCCTAACGCATAAATTGTATAATTCATGTTTTTGCCAATTATAGTTTCCATAATACATTTAATTTTTCATCTTAACATATAAAGTTTTATAAAAATGATAGTTACTATAGCTTATAACATACGTCTACAAACTGCAATATTATCATGAAATTCTATTTCAACGCTATATTTGATATTCTGAAAGTCCCAATTTCGTCAGGCTCACAGTAAGCGAAAGGAAAGATCAATGTCTGATCTTGTATAAATATTATGCTAATAAATGAAGATCAAATCATATTGATTAAAGATACTAGTTTTGATAATATACGTCTACAAACTGCATTATTAATATTAAATGTAATTTAAAACACTATATTTGATATTTTTTTAAAATCACTTTCGCTTTCCTCTCCCTAAACATTGAAAATACGAAAGTGCAAAAAAGTAAGATCTCTAAAATTGCTATATAGAAAAATGAAAATGCATGAATATTTTAAAACCTCATAATGATTTTTAAGTATTTTTTATTCATTTTGAAACTAATGCGTCTACAAAACTGTTATATTTAATATAAATTTGCAAAATAAACGGTATATTGAATGTTTTATAAGTCACTTTCGTATTTTTCAGATGTGAGCGAAAGGAAGATCTATGTATAGTTGTGCAAATAAATAGGCGATTAAATCATCCATATATAATGATTATTTTGAAAATGAATATTATTCAATTTCTGATAATATACGTCACTTTAGTATTTTTTTCAATGTGAGCGAAAGGAAGATTTCTGAACTTGTGTACAAAAATAATGGCAAATAAATAGCGGATTTAAATCATCATAATGATTATTTTTTAAAAATAAGTATCATCAAGTTTCCTGATAATATACGTCTACAAAAATTGTAATTTTAGAAAATTTCAATTAAAAACAGAATATTTAATATTTTATAAGTCACTTTCGTATTTTTTCAATGTGAGCGAAAGGAAGATATAAGAAACTTGTGTAAATAGAAATTATGCAAATTAGTAGCGATTAAATCATCATTATGATTATTTCTGTTAATAAATATAATTATTTTCTAATAATATAATCTACAAAATGCAAGTTTGTTTTAAAAGTCACTTTCGCTCACTTTCGTCAAAAATCTCACTTTCGTATTTTAGGCATACCGGTCATGCATAACAGTTTGTTTTCATTCAGTTTTTACAACGTTATGTATCTTTCAAAGAAATAGTGCAGCTACAAGTCAGGGAATTTTTTTTTGGCTTGTTTTATAGCCGATATTCGGTCATGTTCCCAGTTGAAAATAATATATTATTTCCTAAAGTGTGATTCTTTGAATTTATGTAGCCTTTTCTCTTATATAGACATGTTTTGACGGCTTTTTACCCCCCCCCCCCTTTTTTGAGGCCTCAAACAGTGAAAAAATGCCCTATTTGGACCCCAAACACAGTTTTTCGTTTGCGAAAAGTTGTTAAAAAAAGTGACTACTGTTTCGGCGCCGCCTCCATGTTATGGTACATTAGGGGGTTGCCAGAAGGGGGATGTGCCCCTTTCTGTTTTGGGGGGTTTGAAGGTGGGCGGTAGTCCCCTTCATCGCTAAGAAAATTTTGGACATGTGACAGTCTAAAAATGGCCTCAGGTGGATCTTAGGGTAACTAGTAACTGACGTTGAAAAGCCCTTTACCCTTTCTCAATTCATTGAGAAGTTGCAGCACTTTAAAATCAGTTTTGACGGAAAAAAACAATGCAAAATAGTGATTTTTCGCAATTTTGAGACGTCCCCCCGTTGCCATGGTAACAGGGAATTTACGACTGCACTTGCTGTTACAGAGGCTATGGTTCAGTCAACATTTGTGCCAAGTTTCATAGTATTGAAGCATTTTTCATAGTTTCAAAGCAGTTTGAACTTGTAACAGGAGGCTTTTCAATGAAAACACAATATGCCCATGGGGTAAAAAGTTAATCACTACAAAATTTAAGTCATGCATTTTCCCAATTTTTAACAAAACATGGCTGAAATGTATGTGTCATGTTCCCAAAATCCTGGAAATAAAAACCTGCAAGTATTGTCAGTATTGTCAGTATTAGCAGTGCATTACATTTAAGTTTGTTTTCTCAAAAACAAAGTTATTCACTTCAAACTTGATATACATAATACATGTTCACTGTCACTTTCAAAGTGTGGCATCATTTCAAAAAGGGCAGTTAATTTAAAAAAAATATTTTTACAAAGTGATGCCCCTTTTCCAATATGCTTTAATTATGCTATCCAGCACTGAGAAAAGTTGAGCTTGCTGTCTGGGGATAGGTTATGTTTTATTTTAAATTTATGTCATAATGATATGATGTTGAAGAGGAAAATATATTTTTTGATATGCAATGGGTATGAACTATAATTATTTTGTTCGTAAATTTTAATGAAATGTTATTTAACAGATTTATCTATACTGGTTTTAAGTTTTCTTCTTTGAGGGGTGTTCAGAATAATTTGCATTATGAAGAAATAGATAAAGTTTAACTTTATTTAAAAATCATATTTATTTCATTAAAGAGATGAAGTTAAATGCTACTGATTTAGACATAAATGTGAGACCCCTGTCTTAGAAGTGGTCCGTCTAATAGACAAGTAAATAACCTGTTTTAAATGTTATCTGATAATAGGAAGTGATAAAAGATGTAAACAGAATCCGGAATATTGGTATATCTGCTCACATTGACTCAGGAAAGACAACTCTTACCGAGCGACTTCTATTTTACACAGGGCAGGTCGATGAAATGCATGAGGTATGTCATTAGAGTAACGTTGTTATTTTTTTTTCATTTGCAATATATTGTTATGCTTCCTGGAAAAACGAATGATAAATGTTTGAAGAATTGACCTTTTGAGAGTTTTTATGATTTTGTTTTCATTATACAGTGTATAGTTAATAAATATTATCAAAATGTGTTTTACATAACAAGAAGAAAACCATAATATTAAAACCACATTTGGCCTAAGATATGTTATTTCATATGTTATAGAAGAGTGACATCACTCTTAAAAATCCAAGACATATGACAAGATTCCGACAAGATTACTTTCTATCTTTTTATTATAAGAGAGGAAATCATGTAATAACATACAGTCTTTGACCTTACAAAATTTTGATAAAGAATCTGTCTCTTATAAAGGTGAAAGGTAAGGATCAAGTAGGTGCTAAGATGGACTTCATGGAATTAGAGCGACAACGTGGGATAACCATACAGTCTGCCGCGACATTTGTCATGTGGAAAGATGTCAATATTAACATAATTGACACACCTGGTATGTGACAACTTTCTTATTCAAGTTTGATCCCCAGTTGCTTCATTGTAAATTATATATTTTATTTTTCTTATCCTTCCCAATACTTTTAAAGATTGAATACTTCTTAAGCCTATGCTAGGTTGCTTGAGAAATGTTTGCACATTACATTATATTTAATGAACAGATGCATGTTCAGTGAACTGAGTTTGCAATTGTCAACTATTACCTTTCATGAGCAGACCTAGTACAACCGAATCTGCAACTGTGATAACAGTCACAATGTCAAGGAAGCAGTCATCTTGTATAACTTTAAGCACATTTCTAGGTCCCCAAAAAGGGAGGTTTAGTTTGACATGTACATAAATAGGGGAGACTATAGAACATTAACTTTTTATGCCCCCACAATGTGGGAGCTTATAGCGTTGCACTTGTCCGTCCGTCCGTCCGTCAGTCCGTCCGTACGTCCCGAAATCTTGTGAACGCAACTCCTTCTTAAACCAGATGGCAGATTTGCTTAAACTTACAGGGATGAACAACCTTAATGTGTAGATGGTAGTAAAGGAAGGAATTTTCGCTGCGACCAAATTTAACAGAATTATGGCCCTTTGTTGATTTTTCACTAGATACTATGAAAGAAAATTTGTGAACACAACTCCTCTTAAACCGGATGGCAGATTTTGCTTAAACTTACAGGGATAAACAACCCTTAAGGTGTAGATGGCAGTAAAGGAAGGAATTTTTGCTGCGACCAAATTTAACAGAATTATGGCCCTTTGATGATTTTTTCACTCTTATACTATGTAGAAATTTTGTGAACGCAACTCTCTTAAACTGGATGGCAGATTTGCTTAAACTTACCAGGGATGAACAACCTTAAGGTGTAGATGGTAGTAAAGGAAGGAATTTTCGCTGCGACCAAATTTTACAGAATTATGGCCCTTTGTTGATTTTTTCACTATATACTATGTAGAAAATTTTGTGAATGCAACTCCTCTTAAACCGGATGGCAGATTTTGCTTAACTTCCAGGGATGAACAACTTTAATGTGTAGATGGTAGTAACGGAAGGAATTTTTGCTGCACACCAAATTTAACAGAATTATGGCACTTTTTTTTCATTATATACTATATTAGAAATTTTTGTGAACGCAACTCCTCTTAAACCGGATGGCAGATTTTGCTTAAACTTCCAGGGATTAACAACCTTAATGTGTAGATCATAGTAAAGGAAGGATTTTTTGCTGCGACCAAATTTAACAGAATTATGGCCCTTTGTTGATTTTTAGTTTTCAACTTGTGGCACATGTAGTCCAAAAAATATTTGACCTTGAGTCATAAGATTGACAGAACAGTGGCGTGTGGGGGCATCAGTGTCCTATGGACACATTTCTAGTTTATGAGGAAAGGACAGTGTCACTTACTGAGAGCAGGTTAGTGCTTGGGGTTACTGTATGCCTGAAATATAAATGTAGTAAAAAAGCCAAATAACTTATTTCCTTATTTTCAGAAGAAGTTTTGATAACATGTTTAATCATGTATTTAACTATATATATATAATAAATAAAAAGTTTCATTAAAAACTGTCTTGAATGTTATGTTAATGTCCATCACGCTTAATTGCATCATTTCAGGATCATGTGGGATTTTTTTACAGCTAGAGGTGAGCGTGCATTGAGAGTTTTAGATGGTGCAGTGCTAGTTTTATGTGGGGTGGGTCGGGGTTACAAGAGATCAACACTGTACTGTGAATAGACAAGATGAAGCGATATAAATAGTACCATTGTTATAGCATTCATTAACAAACTAGACAGAGGGGGGACGCAATTACTCCAAATACGTGTTTCTACATACAGATTAGATCTAAGTTAAACCATCAATGCAGCATTCTCTACGATCTACCTATCGGACTAGAAGACAAACATGATCAGGCATTTGTTGACTTAGGTAAAATGCAAACGCAGTGTACTTTTTAAAGACCCACATCGGTATGAATGTTAGTGGATGGATGACAATTCCAGTAATACCTGCAAGAAATTTCTGTGAGCAAAAGACACAGAAAACTGATAGGTAAGGATTTATTTTTTAGCTGGACAACTATTCAAAGAATTAGCAGAGCTATTGTACTCACCCAGGTGTCACCGTTGTTATCATACTTTGGTTAAGTTTTTGCATACAGGGATGTTCTAGTGTCTCAAAAATTACAGAAGGGAATTGGTTAAAACTTCAGACACTTATTTAAGACCAAAACCCATTACTCAAACTGGGTTTTGGCAGAGTTATAACCCTTTTTGGACTTAAAAGAGTCAAAATTATTCAGGCTCTTGCTCTACTATCAAAAACTGGATCACGCTGTCCTATTGCCAGCTCTTGGTTTTTTTTTCTTTCTGACCCAATAAAATCAAGATTATATTACATGTATTTATTTGGTAAATTTAACAAGCAATAGTGCTTAGAGTCACATGGTATTGAAATTCTTGTCGCCAATAGATATTATTGTCATTTGAAATATTTGAAAGAAAAATTCAGTAACAAGTATTTGATTTGTTAAAAGGCAATAAGTCTAAAAACCATGTCTCTGGCACTGTCTTCTTTAACGATGGAATGCTTTCAGTAACCTATTAGACAATATTGGATTAGTATATTATTCATGGGATTTTGAGAAAAGCTCATTCGGAAGGTAATTGGCCTGTTGCTTTACACTACAATAGTATATGGCAGAATACTTCTTTCTTTCAAAACAGTAGAATAATAAGCTAACAAATGAATTAATTTGTGAAAAATTTTTGGATAAATATTTCTGTAATTTACCTTTTTGTAACAGAAAATGCATTTGCAAATGCTGATGAAACCTGGAGAGATGTTTCTTGAGGGACAGGAGCCACAAACGCAAGACATTATGGTAAGCAAATGGGAAAATCACTTATCATCAAGCCCAATTCTTTGGACTTGTTCACATGCTATACAGATACATTCTTACATGTATACAGTATGTGAAAGTATCTTTTTTTATGTCTCCATAAAAAACTTAATTTAACGCCTTAAGATATTGATACTTTCACAAAACTGCAGCACAAAAACAATCTTTGCATGGTGTCTTAGGGAGGTCTGTAGGCCCAATATGACTGACTTAAATCATTTTTTCGCTGTAAAACTTTAGTAAACCCTTTGTTGTGTGGAATAAAAACCCAAAATACCGCCTCAAAATGATAGTGCTTGTGAGTCTTTATTAACTTTAAAGTTACAATAGTATCAGGTACAGACAATGGTAGGTGAATAGCTTGCAACTCTTTTTATCTCTTGACTAATCGAAGAATAGGGATATACTTATTGTTACTCACCCTGGTGTAGGCGTCCCATGTCACAATGGTTAAGTTTTTTAACAAGATGCGTTGCTGGTAGTTAAACCTGTGATCAAAGGTCCACCTAAAAGGAGAACCAAAAAAAAGTCTTTTTAGACAACTGGCCTTTAATTTTTGGAGTAACTATCTGTTTATTAAATCAATGATTAGTTTTATAATTGTCAGGGTCCATTTTTGTTCAGAGGTGGTCTTTAACAGCAAGTTTGGTCACTACACTGGAAATCGAATACAGATTCATTCTATTTTTTAAACATCTTTGTTTAGTTCATTTGGAATGAATCACCCTGGATTTGAGGATTTTCCCAATTCACTGATATAATCCCCAAAAATAACATTGTATTATGTTCTCTCTCTGTTACAGGCTTTCAAAGCGGCCCTACTTTTCCTTATTTTTCTTATTTTCCCTAACTTTTTTTTGTTTGACCCTACTTTTCCCCTACTTTTTTTCTTGAAATCCTATATCCTACTTTTTTAAAAAAAAAGCTCGAGGTAATTGATAAAAACTCCAGTATAAGTTAGTATTAGCATTGATTTTGATAATCTTATCTCAAATTTATTAGAATCAGATTTTAATTGTAGGAAAAAGTTGATGGAAGTAGGTCACAATCAGGTGGTGCAAGATGGGTTCCATGATGAGGATGGTTGGAAAGCTGACATGGCAGAATCAGCGACTTTAGGTGTGAGTTGCTTCTAATAGAAAATATTACCTTAGTGTTCAAATTATTTTTTATGTTTCAATTTTCAAAATTTCTATAAAATATGTTTTTGTATACACAGCTAGCCTCTCAATTGTTTTCATTTCAAAAATTATAAAATATGTTTTTGTACACAGACTAGTTTCTCAATTGTTTCATTTCAAAATCATGATATGTTTTTGGGTACACAGACTACCTTCTCAATTGTTTCATTTCAAAATATATAAATGATTTGTACCAAAGACTAGCTTCTCATTGTTTCATTTCAAAATTATAATATGTTTTTGTACACAGACTAGCTTCTCAATTGTTTCATTTCAAAATTATAATATGTTTTTGTACACAGACTAGCTTCTCAATTGTTTCATTTCAAAATCATGATATGTTTTTGTACACAGACTAGCTTCTCAATTGTTTCATTTCAAAATCATAATATGTTTTTGTACACAGACTAGCTTCTCAATTGTTTCATTTCAAAATCAAATGATATGTTTTTGTACACAGACTAGCTTCTCAATTGTTTCATTTCAAAATTTATAAAAATGATTTGTACAAAGACTAGCTTCTCAATTGTTTCATTTTCAAAATTATTTAATATGTTTTTGTACACAGACTAGCTTCTCAATTGTTTCATTTCAAAATCATAATATGTTTTTGTACACAGACTAGCTTCTCAATTGTTTCATTTCAAAATCATGATATGTTTTTGTACACAGACTAGCTTCTCAATTGTTTCATTTTCAAAATTATAAAATGATTGTGTACAAAGACTAGCTTCTCAATTGTTTCATTTTCAAAATTATAATATGTTTTTGTACACAGACTAGCTTCTCAATTGTTTCATTTCAAAATCATAATATGTTTTTGTACACAGACTAGCTTCTCAATTGTTTCATTTCAAAATCATAATATGTTTTTGTACACAGACTAGCTTCTCAATTGTTTCATTTCAAAATTATAATATGTTTTGTCAGGGCTACAGATAACATTTTGTGTATATTGGGTGATCACCTCTTGTTTTGTGATCTTTTGGGTTTTTTCTATTTTCTTAGAGTTATTTCTGTATTTTTTACCCTACCCTCTCTAACCAATTTGGGTTTTAAAGCAAATGTTCATGTATATTACCCAAAATTTCTGACCTTCATTGTAGTACTGTTGTAGGTTTTGTATGGTAATAAAAAAGCTACTTACTGCTATGCTTTATGGTTTATTGGCCTAGGAGATTTCCAAGCTGCCTGATATGATTTAAAAGGTTAAAACAGACTGAAACAGTATGATCTGCCTGATGTACAGCATTAAGTATAACTTATGTCTTTACCCACCAGTTCCAATGTAGTTTGCATAATAAGAAGTTTATTTACTTTTCTTACCCTTATTATTATTTCTATTGCTTTTTTTTGACATTTTAATTGGGTAATTACGCAATACGCATGTTATCTGCAGCCCTGTTTTGTACAGAAGACTAGCTCCTCAATTGTTTCATTTCAAAATTATTATTATGTTTTTGTACACAGACTAGCTTCTCAATGTTTCCCAATGATGCTTTGCTGAGGACAATACTTGCCAACATCTTTGAGAGCATTATATAGATTTTAGGCAATGTTTGGCATATTGGCAAGTATTGAAGTTTGCTCACTGTGATCATTTTGTCCTGAACTTTTCATTGAATGAAAGATACTGGAAAAATATGTAGTGAGTGTTTCTGAAAAATATGTATGCCTTAATTAGATAGAATTTGATAGCTTTAATATGTTGGGGGATTAATTAATACATTATGAACTGTAAATCCTTGCTTTGATTTGTCAGTTTTGCATGTACTAACTTTGCATACTAAACTGTTCTGTACTTGTATATATCTTAAAAATTTACTTTTGATTGTTACAAGTATCTATTTTGCATGCCCATGTAAACTCCATGCATAAAACTAGGATGCTAGTAAACGCTTTGCTTTTTTTTACATTTACTCCTTTTCATTTTCTATTGTGTTATAATGCTAGTTAAAAAATCATGTTTTAACACCTATCCTTGTTCTAGTCTGTGTTTCACATATTATGCTAGCTAAAACCATATTTTTTGCACATAACATTTTTCTAGATTGTATTTTGTAACAACCATGTTATCTTAAACAAGGTTTTAACACATTTCCTGTTTTTAGTCTGTGTACAAAAAAACATGCTTACTTAATGTTTAATGTTGCTAATAGTTTGTGTTCTGACATATTCATTGTTAATAGTTTTCTGTTATTATTTGGAATTGGATCTAATGAAAAAATATCAATTCCAGGTTCATGCCCAGATCCATCCTGTTGTGGAATCCCTATTTAGACACTGGTGACTGGTTTCCTAAATGAAGAAAATGCCATGGATACTAGTTGATAAGGGTCTGTATTTGTTTTTGTATCAACTTTGGAAAAAAGGTGAGTAGAGAGTCCTACTTTCCCTACTTTTAGGCTCTGAAAATCCCTACTTTTCCCTACTTTTTAACAAAAAAAATCCTACTTTTATCCCTACTTTTTTGTTATTGGCCACTTGAAAGCCTGCTGTTAGCAATTTTTATGTTTTCAATTTGCAGGACGCAATACGACGAGCGACTTTAAAGAGAGAGTTTACACCAGTTATGTTAGGGACAGCATTAAAGAACAAAGGGGTGCAGCCACTCTTGAATGGAATTCTAGACTTTTTACCTAATCCATCAGAGGTCACCAATTATTGTTTGGACAATAGTTCTGGGTAAGTTTTGTGCTACAATTTAAGCAGCTTTCAGTTTTTCTTAAGGTTAAATATCTTATTTTTAGATAAATCGTTTCATATATTTGTCAAACCAAAAGAATTAAGGTGGAAAATATGCCGTTTTTTTAAATACATAAATAATAAGGAAACCCTCGATACCTCTTATCTACCAGTCCACTCTCTATATGTAAGTAAGTAAAGCGGACGCTTCATTTTCTGCTCTTCTATTTTTAGAAACGAACAACACTGTTGTGTTATAAATAGCTCTCGGGACACTGTGTTGAAGGTTAAACAGTGATATGATGTACTTTTCTAAGATAAAGTTACTTAAATACTTAGTTTGAAACAACACAGAATTGTCTTTCCAACAAGAAATAAAAGCCGAAGGTCACTTTAAGAGATTGTCCTATTCAAATTGATAGAAAAATAACAAAGTAATAAGAGATGTTATAACATAGTGTCTGTTGTTATCCACAATGTTTGTATTATGTGAGAATTGTAAGTAAAATATTACTATTACACATATTGTACATGGATATATCACATATTAACACAACACTTTTACTGTTTAAATCTAGATATGTCAATTTTACAAATTTGATGGCGTTTAGGTTTATAAAATCCAGAAAGATGTATTTTTGTATTCCTTTCTTTTTTTAATAGCAAGATATGAAATTGTATTGTTTTTATTTTCAGAGAAGAAGTGAAAACTGTCATGGATTCTGACAGAACTTTAGAGCATCCATTTATTGGACTTGCATTTAAATTGGAGGTGATTTTTTTTGTGGAAAATTTGTAATGAAATTACAGATTGTTATTATAATTAAGATTGTAATATCATATCTGCCTGCTTACCTCAATAGGGACAGGATGGGACTTGAAATCTAGCGATTGCTAGTTTGAAATTGAGGCATATATATCTGTGACTATTGTTCTTGGACGTTGATTGTAACGGTCATTTGAATCCCATCGCTGATGAAAACATCATGTGGGTTTTAGTAGTCAGTCATTAATTTTGCTGGGAAAGTGGTTATTACTAATCACTGGTTAGTTATCCTGGAAAACCATTTAGGTGGGCTGACAGCTAAGATTTTATAAAGAAATGTATGTATGTTTTAATCGGCATAAAAAACCAAATGAACAGCAGACGGTGTTGTTATTTAACATAACAATTAAAGGTTGACAATATAGCATGAAATATTTTGCAATTCATTTTATCATACGTGGTATTTTTATATTAAAGGTTGAAACTTGACTCTAAGAGTACATGTATGTAGAGCTGATATTTGTAACTGGTTGAATAGATTGTGAAAGGCCAAGGTTACACATAGAATACTTAGAAAGCCTTAGAAAGTATTATCCTTCTTAGAAAATATTTATGTGAACTAAGTACAAGTTCTAGGTGAACCATACTCTTTTAATGACCGTTTTTAGCTCGACTTTTCTATGAAAAGGGGAGCTATCCTACTCGCCCCGGCGTCGGCGTCGGCGTCACACCTTGGTTAAGTTTTTCGTACCACCCCACTTTATTTCAGAAGTATTACAAGTATGGCTTTGAAACTTACCATACTTGTTCACCATCATAACCTCCATCTACAGACAAGAGTACATAACTCTGTCAAGGTTTTTGACAGAATTATGGCCCTTTTTTGACTTAGAAAGTGTATTGAGCTTGGTTAAGTTTTTTGTACCACCTCACTTTATTTCAAAACCATTGGAGGTATTGCTTTGAAACTGACCATACTTGTTTACCATCACGACCTTCATCAACAGACAAGAGTTTTTGACAGAATTATGCCCCTTTTTGACTTAGAAAATACATTGAATATGGGTAAAATCCACTTATTGCCTTAACCCTTTGAGATATTGCTTTGAAACTTTTAATGCTATTTCACATCATTACCCCCATCTGTACGCAAGAGAAGGTAACCTCTGTCAAGGATTTGTTTTAAAAATTAAGGCCTTTTATCGACTTAGAATCTTGGTTAAGTTTTTTAGTACCAGTCCACTTTTTTGACTGAACTGTTTGAGATATTAATTTGAAAGTTGGAATACTTGTTTACAATCATGATTCCCAAACATGTCCAGGAGAAGGTAATTCTGTCAAAGATTTTATTTGAATTATGGCCCTTAACTGTCAATGTTTTGTATTATAGGCAAGCACTAAAAAACTTAAAAAATCTAAAAAAATTCATTCCTATCCACTTGTTCACTTTACCATAAATTATGTCATAATAAAATAATTCTTCACTAAATATCTTAATGCTCATGGCCATTGTTCACTTTAAAAATACAGAGATTCTTGTATTGCCTTTTACTGCAAAAACTTTTTTTATTGGCAAGCAATAAAAAAGTCGAGCGCGCTGTCTTACGGACAGCTCTTGTATTATATACCTTATCCCAATTACATGTTTAATCCTTAAGCATTGTTAAGTAGTGAAAAATATGACAAGAATCAAGCAATGTGAAACTTAATCTGACTTCTGTGTCCTAAAGGTTATGGAAGCAGATCATGAATCATTCTACTCCCAACCCCAACAACACTGTTCACATGTCAAATTTTGTTATGGGCTTTGATAGATTCTCTCATGTTAAATTTGTCCTGCCATTTAACACAATGTGTCATTTGCTATAAACTATGACATGACATTAATCTGAAAATGTGCTGTTTAATTATACAGGCTGGAAGATTTGGTCAGCTAACTTATATGCGTGTGTACCAGGGTGGAATGCAAAGAGGTGATGTGATTTTCAATACAAGGACTGGCAAGAAAACTAAAGTCTCGAGACTTGTCAGAATGCATGCTGATGAGATGCAGGTATTTTCTTCTTTTCTTGATATTTTTCAGCCTTTTTGTAATGTAATGGAAAAAGCATGATTGATCACATTGTCAGCTTCATTGTCTCTTTTTCTTATCCCACCAAGTGTATCCCCACAAATGTGTAACCCTGTATCCAGAAAAATGTGCAATCTTGTATCCTTGAGATTGTGTCCCTTTGAAACATTGCAGTCAGAAAAATAAATACATAATTACTTCTTATGCTTATGTGAGCACTTATTTTGAGTTTCAAAAGAACCATAAAAGATTATAAAGATTTATGTTGTGTGAAGTGAAATGAATTAAGAAGTTTCCTTATTAGGCTGTTTCTTGATTTTTGATTTTGAACCATTTTGTTTAGTATTATTAAGGCTACTTACTTATTTTGTGTTGTTAACTTGATATTGTTCAGGATATACCAGAGGTTTATGCTGGCGATATATGCGCTCTATTTGGAATGGATTGTGCCAGTGGTGATACTTTTGTTACTAAGGGAAATATGAACTTATCTATGGTAAGTCACATACTCATCTTAATACATAATATTGTCATGGAAATGCAGTAACGGGTTAACTCATATTAAATTCAACAGAAGTTAGCCTGTTATTGCACTAAGGTGTGATATACTGCTTGTAAGATAGGTGAATAGAGCAAAATAAGTTGATAAATATGTATATAAATAAGTGATGTTTAGCATGTGATTTTACTTTAAGTTGAAATGATAATATTTTGATTACAAGCATTAATTAGAATGAAAGAAGTTTTAAATTTTCTGCTTTAAAACCAAACTGTTATATTTTAGATCAATATTTAAACAATGAAAGAATTACAAGTTGATTATTGAGTGTGTTGCTTTTGAGATGTTGATTTTTGAACTGTATTGTACATACAACATTGTTATATAAGAAACTTCAAGAATTAGAATAATTGAAATCTTCCTTACAGTTTTGTATGGAAACAAATTTCATATTTCGATCTGTTTTCCAACCTTTTTAATAAAATGCCTGTTTTGTGGTTCAAAATGCACACTTTTGTGTATCATGGATTATGGAAACCAAGTGTGTATTTATTTACTTGGGTGAAATGCTTACAAAGTTGATAAAGATATGTTTGATATGATACATGACAATTCATATTGCAGATCTGTTTCATCTATTTGTGGAGGGTTGGTATTTAATCTAAGTGGCTTCTTAAAAGCCTTAGATTATGCCAAAGTTGTATTTGCAATCTTTTCTTGTGGAAAAGCTTACAGGCTATCACCATATGACTTTGACTAATTCAAAAACTATTTATATATTCAGGAATCTATGTATGTAGCAGAACCTGTGATATCTATGTCAATTAAACCGGCCAAGAATGAACATATAGAGAACTTTTCAAAAGGAATAGCAAGATTTACAAAAGAAGATCCGACATTTAAAGTTCACTGGGATGATGATATAAAAGAAACTATTGCATCAGGAATGGGAGAATTACATCTGGATATTTATGGCCAGGTATGGAAATTTTTTATGAATGATCTGTGTAGCTATGATATTGTTAAGTTAGCTATGATGAATTTTAATACCCTTCACATTATTTCTATAAAACAGATAGCTAAGTTGAATGCAGTGTTACAAGATATTACTAGCTTTATAGTAGTGGCATAAATAAGTAAATTAAAGTTATGTCTACTTAATTAGCTCAAAGGGTGAGCATCAGATTTGTTTTTCAGGATAAGCTGCTTAATATTACTATGATTTTTTCTGGTCACTTGTAAGGAAAAAGTGAAAAATAAAACATATTCTTTTATTCAGAGGCTTGAAAGGGAGTTCAACTGTAAAGTGATAATGGGAAAACCTAAAGTGTCATTTAGAGAATGTATAGTTTCACCTGTAGAGTAAGTATGTTACATTATGTATCATCCCCAAAATCCTCTAGGAAAATTTTATCCCAACTTAACTATAACTCTGTGTGAAAATAATCTCTAAAATTTATGAAGGCAAAAATATTCAGTTTTAAATTCTTTTCTAATCAATAACTAGATTTTCTTCCACAATAGGTTTCTTAAACTTATTTAATAAGCCTGGTTAGTTAGATATGCCAATCTGCAAATGGAGTGGGGGCATAAGTGTTATTTGGACACATTACTAGTTATAGCAGGTGAAAAGGTGAATTAAAGGGACTCCACTGAGGTTTTTTACATCACAAGACTGGAAATAATTTTTTGAGATTAATGCTCAGTTCTATGTAGGTCTAGATCAGTAACTTGTATGCAAAATTTTAGATCATTCAGTCTTGCGGTTTATCCAGGATGATTATTCAAATAGTGAAAAATGACCCAACATTGAAAAGCGTTTAAACGCTTTTCACTTCAATCATATTAAAAATAGCACAAAATATGCTTTTCAATTCATGTCTGAGTATATTTCTTAATTATTTTTTGTATGTCTTCCAGTTTTGCGTGCCTCAGTAAAAAAATAAATTCTAAAGCTTTAGGCTTTTGAACCTCAGTGGAGTCCCTTTAAAAGTCATGTTGATGTTCCCTTTCAGTGTTGAGTATCAACACAAGAAACAGTCTGGTGGTCGTGGTGAATATGCTAAAGTTATTGGGACAGTGGAGGTAAGTTTAACATTTAGAAAACTATCTTTCTTGGCAAGAGGCCGTTATTTGTGGCAACAACCCCTCATCAAAGTGAATTTCCAGACATTCTAGTGACCTTGCTATCAGCCAGCTTGAGGCTTATTCATTTGAGGTCTCTTCTGTGTGTTAATTAGCCATAGTTTATTTCTCTTGTTATATTTAATTTTTGTATCAAGGCTTGCTGTGGTTGATTGGAAACCTGTCTGTAACTTTGAAATCTTTCATGAGAGGAATTTGGCAAAAGGGAAGTGGGTGGCTTTTACCAAATGTCTGAAATAATGCACATATACTCACCTTGATTCTGTTTCATGGGTTGAAGCTGGAAAATTGTCATATGACCATGACATTGTGTTTGAGACTTGAATTCAAATGATATTAAATGTCATGTCATGAAGTAATACTTAGTAAGATGTTGGCCATAATTATTATTTGTAACCGACAGAACATAAATGTTATACTGTTGGTGTATTGCAACACAAGATGACTATCTTTTAGATATGATATTTCTCTTACATCTCTTACTGATTTGTCCAGCCACAGAAACTTGTCTCACAAAGAGACTATCAATTATGATGATCAATTTCACGGATCTGGTTTTCTGTTGAAAATTGTGAAAAACTCAACAAAAATAACATTAATTTACAAATAGGATCACAAAAATATTTTACATTTTGATAATGATATACTGTACAATAATACATATATACTCTAGTCTAAAAACAAAGGGCATTAATTGCCATTCAATAATTTACACATTTCATTTATTATTGAATTTCAGCCTTTACCTGTAGAGAATAATACAAAGATTGAATTTAAAGATAAAACAGTGGGAACTAATGTACCTAAGAATTACATACCTTCAATTGAAACTGTAAGTATATCATGTATTTTATGGAATATTTTCACTTACAAAATGATCCTCAGAGGCCAAGTTGTTTCATTTTTGAAACAGGTCATTCATGGTAGTATAATGTTTTCGGAAGGTTGACTTGGTTCTATACAGGTAGCATAGACATTTTTTGCAGCTAACTTTCAGAGAGCTGAACTAATAAGGTTAGAGATTGGCGAGTGGAGACAGGAACGGATTTAAGACTGTTTCAATAAGCTTATAGCTTTCAACACAATCAAACAAATGAATAAGTATAAACTAAAGATAGATCAAAGAAATGTTTGTGTATGAGTCAGGTTAACTAAGTGGCAAAGGTTGCTGTAAAGTCTGTACTTACAGCTCACATTTGTGAGTTTGAATTGTTTGGTGTTAATTGAATTTATTCACAAGAGATAAGCAGCCAAGGTTGTTTCTAACCAAGTATCTGTCTCAATTTAATGCATGATTGTGGTACCGTATAAGTGGTTTTTTCTGTGGTGACTTTATTTCTGCAGTCAGTTTCAGCACCGCAGAAATAAAAACTGCAGAATATTTATCTAACCTGTTACGGTATATATCCTACATTAAGACCTGTTTCATCTAAAGTAACGACTAACAGATTATAAAGTTAGCGGGTTTTCAAGTTGTATACAATTGCTGTTGGCTAAGTATGTAAACTGTGTTTGTAAGGATGTACTTATTATTAATTATGCTATTTTAAGAATAAAGATATTTCAAACCATCTCAACCCTTATACTGCTAAATAATCTTCATATACATTAATTGTCATCAGATTTACGGTAAAATTCTATCAATTTTATTACATTAAAGATGCTACCGGGGTATATTTTTCACATGTCATTTCAAGCTGATCAAAAGATGCATACCTTTCTATTGTTGCGCATTATATTGTTTGCAAGAAAACAGTATAATAATGTTTGTAATTACAATACTGTTTTGCGGTGACGACGATAAACAAATGTGAATGTGAACATGCAAATAAAATAGGTAGAGTACTATGAAATTGTAATGATTAGTAGGATCATTTGAAAATGATTTTTAAATGTTGCTTTATATTGAAATGTGAATTTAGAGTTTAATATGCAAGTAAAAAAGATTAAAGGGACTTCACTGAGGTTTTTTGACGTGAAGAGCTGAAAATATTTTTTCAAGATTTTTGTATAACTTGATGTATGTCTAGATCAATAATTCATGTACAAATTTTCAGATCATTTGCTCACTCCGTTTCCCAGACATAATCATTTTTATTGTACAAATTGGCCCAAAAAATGATAACCCTTACAACGCTTTTCACTCAAATCGGCCAAAAATTGCATAAAAATTGATTATCAATTAATACCTTGTATACAAATGTATTTATATAATCATCTATTGCCGGGTTTCAAATTTAAGTGTATTTGTCGATTTGAGAAAAAAAAAATCAAAATTGATTATTTTAGGCTATTGAACCTCAGTGGAGTTCCTTTTCATGTTTGAAAGTTTATACTAGTTATCTATGTTCGTTAAAAAGTTTATACTAGTTATCTATGTTCGTTAAAAAGTTTATACTAGTTATGTATGATTGTTATAGGGATACAGAGATTATTGTGGGAAGGGTCCCCTAGCTGGACAGAAAGTATCAGGAACATTGTTTGTATTAAAAGATGGTATGTTAAAATCTAACTTCTTACTTTAATGATGTATGCCACAGTTTCATGTAGACATATGATTTTATTAGTTATAGAGATTTTTGACAGGTTTTATGCCCCTATATAAACGGTTCTTTGCATATATAACATGAGCCAGTAGGCAAGGGTTATATTGCAAACAGCTGTTTATTTTTGGCCATATAGCCTGTCAGGAATCTTTAAAACAAATTTATAATACTGCAAACTTCCTTTTTATGCCACCGCAGCATCTGCGATGCGGTGGCATATAGCGATTCACCTGTGTGTGTGTTTGTTTGTGTGTGTGTGTGTTATATAGATTATATAGTGAACTTAAAAAATCTTCTTGTGAAAAACCACTAGTCCAATTTCAACCAAACTTGGCAGGATTGATCCTTGGGTGAAGGCCTTCCAAAGTTGTTCAAAGAATTTCATTCCATGCAGAATTCTGGTTGCCATGGCAACCAAAAGGAATTATAAGAATAAATTAAAAAAATCTTCTTGTAAAGACCCAAAAGGCATAGAGCTTAGATATTTTGCATAAGGCATTGTCTGGTAGACCTCTACCAAGATTGTTCAAATTATAGCCCTGGGGTCCAAATCGGCCCCGCCCGGGGGTCATTGATTTTCACTATATGTACATATAGTAAAAACTTGAAATACCTTCTTGTCTGAAGGTACCAGGCTTAGAGGTTTGATATTTGGTATGTGTTATTATCTATAGGTACTCTACCAAAGTTGTTCAAATTTTGCCTCTAGTGTCAAAATTAGCCCTGCCCCAGGGGCCATAGGTTTTCCTCATATGTATATAGTAAAAACTTAAAAAATCATCTTCTCTAAATTGACAGAGGCTAGAGGTTAGATATTTTGCATGAAACATTGTGTAGTGAACCTCTAGCAAGATTGAACAAATTATAGCCCTGGGGTCAAAATTGGCCCCACCCCCAGGGGTCATTGATTTTCACTATGTACATATAGTAAAAAATTAAAATACCTTCTTGTCTGAAGGTACCAGGCTTAGAGGTTTGATATTTGGTATATGATATCATCTATAGGTACTCTACCAAAGTTGTTCAAATTTTGCCTCTAGTTTCAAAACTAGCCCTGCCCCGGGGTCATAGGTTTTCTTTACATGTATATAGTAAAAACTTTAAAAAATCACCTTCTCGAATTGACAAAGGCTAGAGGTGAGACATTTTGCAGTAAACATTGTGTAGTGAAACTTTAGCAAGATTATTCAAATTAAAGCCCTTGGGTCAAAAAAAAAAAAAAATTGTTCCTACATTACTATTTTAGTGTTGTATTTATGCGGTGGCATAGCATTTTTTACAAATGCAATCTTGTTTAGAGAAAAAAGTGAGATTTCTTTATTAATTGACATCAGTCGTGTATATAAATTTAATGTATTTAAACGTCACAATTGTCCAATGAAATGCAACATTACAAACATGCAGTATTATATAAGCATAATGCCAACTGTGTTATAATCTTTATTTAAACTTAGATCTTTGAATGTGATAACAGAAACATTTGAAACGAAGAAAATGAAATGGCGAGGGGTGAAGGCATATATCATCCGGATCATAATTGTACGTCACAGTAAAAGACCCATACCTCTAGCATAGATTTATAAACTGAATTATACCACTTGGTGTACAAAGAAATGTCTCTTAAAAAAAATTTCATCCAAGGTCTATCTTCACAACGACAGATGGTATTTATCATAATTGAAGCTTACTTACTAGAACCTTTAACTCTGAACAGTAATTTTCCATTGTTAACCTAAAACATTACAGCTTTACCCAAGTTTCTGTTTTACTATCAAGCACAGGGAACAGTCTTGTGTACTATCCAACTCCCAACTCTTGTTCTAAATTTCTAGGCATGTCTTTCTAGATAGATAAGACTTACATTATATACATGTATGTATGATACATTTGCTCTTGTATTTAAGGTGATCACCATACGGTAGATTCTAGTGACTGGGCTTTCCAGCAGGCAGCACATGGAGCAATGAAGCAAGGTAATGTAGTTTTATTGTGATGGAAGCTATAAGCTTATTGAAACACTCTCGAATCTGTTCCTGGAGCCAACCAGTACTAAGCAATGAATGTAAAAATTCTTGCTCAAGACAAATGAATATCAAATATGGAATCAATATTTGAATATAGTTTAAATGTTATTATTTAATGTCATGATGTATGTTTCATAAAACTTTACAGTTCAGATGAAGATATAGGGGCATTTGTGGCCGAGTGGTTATGGTTGTTCACTTCAATCCACTTGCCCCAAACCACTGTGGGTTCCAAATCTCAGCAGGGACTTTGGAATCTTTCATGTGTGGAAACTATCCAGCTAGTTTACTAAACATTGGTGGTTCTACTCTGGTGCCTATTTGTGTCTGAAATAATGCTTGGAAGGATACCAAAGCCCTTCTTCCACCAGTAAAGCTGGAAAGTTGCCATATGACATGTACTGTGTTGGTGTGACATACAATCCCCCCCCCCCCTGTTCCTCCGCTCCCCCACCCCAAAAAAATTTGTAGATATGATGTAGTATGTTAAACATTGTCATGTTTCTTTTAGCATTTGATAATGGACACTGGCAGATCTTGGAACCAATAATGAATGTGGAGGCAAATGCCCCTGAAGAATTTCAAAGTGCAGTAATGCAAGGGTTGTCTAACCGTAATGGTATTGTGCTGGGAACTGATAGTAGTGATGGATATTTCACAGTGTATTGTGAGGTAAGGAAAGAAATTTTAAGACTTAAAAATACTATATATAAAATACTACTAATAATTGGTGTTTGCTTCTAAATTTTGAGACTATAAATTTATATGTAAATTTTGTATATACCTTTTTGCAAAAATGATATTGTAAAGATTGATAAAATGTTTTTTTAGCTCACCAGAGCCGAAGGCTCAGTGTGAGCTATTAGTATCAAAGGGGGATGCTCCGGCGTCCGTCGTCATGCGTCAACAATCGTCTTCTTCTCTAAAACTACTGGGCAGATTTTCTTCAAATTTGGTCTGTAGCATCCTTGTGACAGTCACACTTGAATTTGTTCATGTCATTCCAATTGGCCCCTTTTAGGGGTCATCAGAGCTAAAAATAAAAAAAACCTTTAAACATCTTCTTCTACAGAACTAATGGATGGATTATCACCAAACTTTGTTTGTAGCATTCTTGGGTAGTCTTTTATCAAGTTTGCTCATATGAATTTCATTGGCCCCTTTTAGGGGCCGCTATAGCTAAAAATAGAAATATCTTTAAACGTCTGTTTCTATAGAACTAATTGATGGATGATCACCAAACTTTGTCTGTAGCATTCTTTGGTAGTCTTTTATCAAGTTTGCTCATATTAATTTGATTGGCCCCTTTTAGGGGTCTCTAGGGCTAAAAATAGAAAAACCTTTAGACATCTTCTACAGAACTAATAGATGGATGATCACTAAACTTTGTCTGTAGCATTCTTGGGTAGTCTTTTATCAAGTTTGCTCATATTAATTTGATTGGCCATTTTTAGGGGCCACTATAGCTAAAAATAGAAATACCTTTAAACGTCTGTTTCTATAGAACTGCTTGATGGATGATCACCAAACTTTGTCTGTAGCATTCTTTGGTAGTCATTTATCAAGTTTGCTCATATTATTTTCATTGGCCCCTTTAAGGGATTTCTAAAGCTAAAAGTAGAAATACCTTTTAATGTCTTCTTCTACAGCACTAATTGGTGGATGATCACCAAACTTTGTCTGTAGCATTCTTAGGTAGTCTTTTATCAAGTTTGCTCATATTAATTTTATTGGCCCCTTTTAGGGGTCTCTAGGGCTTAAAATAGATAAACCTTTAGACATCTTCTTCTTCAGAACTAATTGATGGATGATCACCAAACTTTGTCTGTAGCATTCTTAGGTAGTCTTTTATCAAGTTTGCTCATATTAATTTGATTGGTCCCTTTTAGGGGCTGCTATAGCTAAAAATAGAAATACATTTTAACGTCTGCTTCTGCAGAACTATTTGATGGATGATCACCAAACTTTGTCTGTAGCATTCCTAAGAAGTCTTTTATCAAGTGTGCTCATATTAATTTGATTGGTCCCTTTTAGGGGCCGCTATAGCTAAAAATAGAAATATATTTAAGCGTCTGCTTCTGCAGAACTAATTGATGGATGATCACCAAATTTTGTCTGTAGCATTCTTTGGTAGTCTTTTATCAAATTTGCTCATATTTATTTGCTTAGACCCTTTAGGGGTCTCAAAAGCTAAAAATAGAAAAACCTTTAGATATCTTCTTCTACAGAACTAATTGATGGATGATCACCAAACTTTGTCTGTAGCATTCTTAGGTAGTCTTTTATCAAGTGTGCTCATATTAATTTGATTGGCCCCTTATAGGGGCCGCTATCGCTAAAAATAGAAATTTCTGCTTCTACAGAACTATTTGATGGATGATCACCAAACTTTGTCTGTAGCATTCTTAAGTAGTCTTTTATCAAGTGTGCTCATATTAATTTGATTGGTCCCTTTTAGGGGCCGCTATAGCTAAATATATTAGGAGCAACTATAGCTAAAATGCCCTGGGCGATGGCATTTCTTCAAATTATAGTTTAATAATGAAAGGAAAATAACTCATGTACATGTTATGCATAAAAAAAAGATTGAATGTCTTAATGTCATGACCTGTTTGCTTTACAGAGATCTGAGGTCAATGTGCTTTTTATCTTTCTGTTTGTGCCCTAGAATTCAGATGGCCATTACATCATTCTAAGGTTTATTTGTAGGTCAATCTAGAGAATTTTCCTTAAGGCCTAAAAAAATGTTTCATTTGTTTCTGAAAATGTCAAAGACCTTTAAGGTCAAAAGTCCAAATTTTTGGACCACCACCACCATGCGTACCACCACCAGCATGCAGACCACCACCAGCACGCAGACCACCACCAGCATGCAGACCACCACCACCATGCGTACCACCACCAGCATGCGGACCACCACCAGCATGCTGACCACCACCAGCATGCAGACCACCACCAGCATGCAGACCACCACCACCATGCGGACCACCACCAGCATGCTGACCACCACCAGCATGCGGGCCACCACCACCATGCGGAGCATCACCACCATGCGGACCACCACCAACATGTGGACCAACGCCACTATGCGGATCATCACCACTATGCGGACCACTGCCAACATGCGGACCAACGCAAACATGCGGACCAACACCACCATGTGGACCACCACTACCATGCGGACCGCAACTGCCATGCGGCCCACCACCAGCATATGGACCACCACCATAATGCAGACCACCACCATGTGGACCACCACCACAATGCTGACCACAGCCACCATGGGGGCCACCACCACCATGTGGACCACCATCAATATGCGGACGACCACCACCACCAGCAGACCACCACCAACATGCGGACCACCACTACTATGCAGACCGCAACCACAATGCTGTCCTCCGCCACCCCATCAATATGCCGGCCACCACTAGCATGCGGACCACCACCATGCGGACCACCGCCAACATGCGGACCACCATCAATATGCGGACCACCACCAGCATGCGGACCACCACGGCCAGCGGACTACCACCAACATGCGGACCGCCACTACCATGCGAACCCCAACCACAATGCTGACCACCGCCACCATGCGGACCACCACTACCATGCGGACCACAACCGTCATGCGGCCCACCACCAACATATGGACCACCATCAATATGCGGACCACCACCAGCATGTAGACCACAACCACCAACATGCGGACCATCACCACCAACATGCGGACCGCCGCCAACATGCGGACCACCACCGTGCGGACCGCAACCACCATGGGGATCACCACCGCTACCATGCGGATCACCACCGCTACCATGCGGACCACCACCACCATACGCATTTATTTATATATATATATAAAGTATAAAGTTTTAGATATTCAAAATATATAGACAAAACTAATGTGACCAGACAGACGGATTAAATTTATAAAAAGGAAACGTTAAGATTTGTTCAAACATTTCTTTGTTTGCTTAAAGAAAAAGTAAAGAGTCGAGCGTTGCCCCCACCTGGCGGTGGCTCTTGTTTAATCTTTGTGCTTTTTAAGTATCAGTTTCAATTATTTCTATTCAGAATCACATTTTGCAAACTTGGTTATCACTTGTTGAAAGTAATTTTGCACTGTTTCATACAATGTATGTAAAGTTGTTTTCATGTTCACTGAATACATTTCATCAAAACAACCTTTTGCCTTTTTCCTCTATGTAGTTAAAGATACAATTTTTCTCATTTCTATTAGAGAGTAAGATAATTAACCAGAAATATTATACCTCATTTGCATATGCTCTTCTATATTTAATTTGACGTCATCCGGTCCATAAACCGCATACAGACCGGGGGCGGTCCATAATTCTTATGAAGACCGTTTAAACGTAACTTTCACGACGTGCGAATTTCATGACGACACAAACAGACGATAACTGTCAAAATGGCCAGGCGATTTGCCTTTTTATCAGAGACATAAATTTATTACATGTTGATCAAAAGTCATGATTTGTCTTTAATTTAATTATAGATTATATTTATACAGTTTGCCCTCAAGCCCATGTTTTATTTGTTAAATGTTAACTTTCTGGTCAAGTTGACTAGTATACCTATGTTATCTTAAATAAATATTGACCGATGGTGTCATCCTGACAAACAGTATACATGTATATCTAAATACTGAGATTATATAATTATCTAATTTTTTAAATAATTAGAAAAAAAGAAGAAAGATCCCAATTTTGAAAAACAGTCATAGGCAAATTTTATCACAAATTAATGGATGGATGATCACCAAACTTGGTTCCTATCATTTTTACTTTAAAGAAAAAAACAATCATAAAACCTTATAACTAGAGAGGTGAGTTGAAGTTGACCTGGACTTCTCTTTCTACAAGTTTATTTGAAAAAAAATATTTCTATAATCACTGAAAAACAGTTGTTTCTGGTGAGCGATTCAGGGCCATCATGGCCCTCTTGTTTTGGGTTTTTTTTTCAATAAATTACTTCTTTATTAGCAAAATTTGATGAAATTAAAGAGTTAGTAAAAGTAATAGAAATATAACTCTGATATAAAATTGGCTAACAGACGTGTACTTTTTGTCATACTTCTGTAACTTGTAATTTCACTACTTTTTATAAATTAAATATTATTTAAATGTTTACAGTTTAGTTTATACAAATTTATTTTGATTTGATTGTGTTGGAAGCTATAAGCTTATTGAAACACTCAAATCCGTTCCTTTTGTATTATTGTTGTATAATATCAACAGGTACATAATTATATTGTTTACCTCTAGTATAGTTAAATTTTTTGTTACTTTTAAAAGGTACCACTTAATAACATGTTTGGATATTCCTCGGAGTTGCGGTCACAGACACAAGGTAAAGGTGAATATACGATGGAGTACAGTCAGTACTGTCCAGCACTTCCAGCCACACAACAAGAACTTATCGCACAATACGAGTTGGAGCAACAGGAAAACACACATCAGAAAAAGAAGAAAAAGAAAAATTGATGATGATTTAATTTGTAGAAAAAAAAATTCACAACTAAGTCCAAACCAAATGAATGTGATAACAGAATGATGAGTTTACATTTAGTGTTGGGTTTTTATGTACAAACTTGACTAAACCTTCAATACTTTCTCCTTATTGGTGTCATCGTTAACTTGCTTAGAATTTTGGATGGACCACTTTTAATTTATATGATTCATATTGCATAAATGTGTGGAGAAGTGTCATTTTTTTGTGTCAAAAGCTCAATATTATCTCCCATAGTGGTCCCACAATATGACAATAGATGACATAAAAACTTATATCCATACACTATGTGATACATGTATTTTCGTCAGTTTTCACAAAGTCTGATGATTATATTAAATTTTTGTTTGTCAAGCAAATGTTTTCACTTTGCTTAAATCAGCTTTGTAAAGATTGCCAATATGATGCTGTTTTTATTTCAGTCTTAGATATTTATGATGACCTAGTGAAAATGATTATGTTACAATGTTTATCAAGGCAAAACTGTGTTTTTTTTGTTAATAAGATATTTTGTATTTTTTTTGGAAAAAATCATTTTTAGCTCGACTATTCGAAGAATATGAGAGCTATTGTAGTCGCCCCGGCGTCGGCGTCCGCGTCGGCGTCTGCGTTGGTTAAAGTTTTTTGTAAAGTCAAATATTTCAATTATTACTTGAGATATTCAATTGAAACTTACAATACTTATTTATAGTAACAATGTACATCACATTGACAAGTTGGATAACTCTGCCTACAATATTGATAGAATTATGCCCCTTTGGAACTTAGAAATTTTGGTTAAAGTTTTTTGTAAAGTCAAATATCTCAATTATTGCTTGAGATATTCAATTGAAACTTACAATACTTATTTATAGTAACAAGGTACATCAGATTGACAAGTTGGATAACTCTGCCTACAATATTGACAGAATAATGCCCCTTTTTAACTTAGAAATTTTGGTTAAAGTTTTTTGTAAAGTCAAATATCTCAATTATTGCTTGAGATATTCAAGTGAAACTTACAATACTTATTTATAGTAACAATGTACATCACATTGACAAGTTGGATAACTCTGCCTACAATATTGATAGAATTATGCCCCTTTGGAACTTAAAAATTTTGGTTAAAGTTTTTTTGTAAAGTCAAATATCTCAATTATTGCTTAAGATATTCAATTGAAATTTAAAATACTTATTTATAGTAACAATGTACATCAGTTTGCAAAATTGCATAACTCTGTCTGCAATATTTGCAGAATTATTTGCCCCTTTGAAACTTAGAAATTTTGGTTAAAGGTTAACGGTCTTCAAAGATATTTACTTGAAACTTTACATATGCACTTAGGGTCATAATTGGAGGGTCATAATTGTATGTCACTGACCAAGTTCCATAACTCTATCTTGCATTAAGGCTGATTCATATCCCCTTTTCTACTTAGTTTCTTGGTTAATGTTTACATGCAAGTTTTACATATCTCAATAACTATTAAAGATATTTATTTAAAACTTCATATATGCATTTAGGGTCATAATTGTAGGTCACTGACAAAGATCCATAATTCTATTTTGCATTTAGGCTGATTTTTCTCCCCTTTTTCAACTTAGAAATTCATGGTAAAGTTTTGCTTGTAAGCTTTTATCTCAATAACTACTGAAGGGTTTGTGCCTTTTTTGGGACAATTTTATGCATTCATAATAATAAAGCAGTGATTTACTTGATAAAACATCTTAATAACAAACCTTTGTACCTTTTCTGTCAAATTTATGTATTCATAGGTAATTAGTATTATTATACTCAATAAAAAACCCTTGTGACATTACCTTCCGAATAGTCAAGCCAATTCTGTATAATTAGACTCTCTCTAAGGCCTATAACATGAATTTATAAAAAAAAATTAGCCCTTTTGTGAACTTAAAAAATATAACAATATCAAGGCTCTTTTACTATCAAGCACTTAGAATAGTCGAGCATGCTGTCCTACCGACAGCTCTTGTTAACTTTTTTACTGATCATGATTTGAAACAATATTTTAATGATTATATCATTAATTGATGTCAGACTCTATCATTAGATTTAACCAGGATGGCTCAGTCAGTCAAACTGAAAACATGTAGCCACTGTTATTCAATTCCTGTTGAAGTGAAAGGACTTTCCGATATGAGAGAGCTATTCAAGTGGCATATAGAAGTTTGAAAGACATATCAGGGAGCCTCAGTTATGCTCGAATCATAAACATAATTAAAGGGTATAGGGGGAGCAGGGAAACACGAAATTTACTCTATTGTTACTGCTACAGGTCTTTGAATTATCTGTAATTTTAGCATGTAATTTAAAATAACAAATTAGGTAGTTACATTGCTGAGGCTTGTAGTACAGTTGATGCATTGTAATACGAGTATTTTCCTTGTCAAAATGTACAGTTGTATAAAATTAAATTATTTTAAAACTTATCTGAATTGTTGTGTATTTTTTCCTTGAATGACAATGACAAACAAGAACCGGTTGAACCGGGTGATGCTCCCCGAGAAGGTTCTGGACACAGGAAAGTATAAAAAAATGAACAAAGGGCAAAAGCTCCAAAATTTGGCAAGGCGGAGTTATGTTTTTTGCACTGCACTTCTATTCAATGAGATCTATCTATCTATAAAGTTTCCTGATGATATCAGAGTTATGTCCCGGGTAAAGTTCAAAGTGTAAAAATGAACAAAGGGCAATAACTCCAAAATTATACCAGGCTTTGTTTGGTTCTTTAAGCATTGCAGTTCTATCCAATTATATCTAGCTACCTACAAAGTTTCATGTTGATATCTCTAATAGTTTTAAAGTTATGTCCCAGACAAAAGTCAAAAAGTAGAAATAAACAAAGGGCAATAACTTCAAAATAAGGCAAGGCAGAGTAATGATTCTTAAGCACTGCACTTCCGCCCAATGAGACCTATCTATCTACAAAGTTTTTATGTTGATATCTCTTACAATTTTAGAGTAATGTCCCGGACAAAGTTCAAAGTGTCAAAATGAACAAAGGGCAATGACTCCAAAAGTAGACAAGACAGTGTTACAGTTCTTGTGCACTGCAAACCTACTTAATGAGATCTATCTACCTACAAAGTTTCATGTTGATACCTCTTATAGTTTTACAGTTATGTCCTGAAAAAAGTTCAAAGTGTAAACATAAACAAAGGGGGTTATTAAAAAAAATAGGCAAGGCAGAGTTACGGTTCTTGTGCACTGCACACCTACTCAATGAGATCTATCTACCTACAAAGTTTCATGTTGATACCTCTTGTTGTTTCAAAGTTATGTCCCGGACATGAAAAGGGGACGGACGGATGGACGGACGGACAAGGCGGCGACTTTCTGCTCCCCCGAAATTTTTCGGGGAGCATAAAACATTGTAAAAAATGGAAGGATACGTGTCTTTGTTGTCCTTAAAGTTATATCTGATAAAAAAAAACATCATATTAGCAAAAAAAGTACCCATACCATAGTTTATAGTAAAGAAAAAAAACAAATACAGTTGAGTTCACACTAAAGGTTACAAGAAAGGCACTTCAAGTTCACTCCTTGTGCACTAGACCAGTTATGCACTGGGCAATGTTTCAATTTGTATAGCAGTTACCTTTAATTTCAACAAATATCTTTATGACTCAAAAATAGATTCACCAAGAAAAAAGATGTAATGTATATCAGATTTTGTTACTGTTTATAATTTCTGTTGATAATATCATTGTGTAGGCTTTTTTAGGAATGATTTAAATAGCATTTTATTAATTTAATTATTAATGTTTTATTTTTACTTTTTGTACTTTGTAAAAATAATTATTTCTATCAATTTAATATCATTATTCGTTTTACGTTGAAAATGTTAGAAATAAAAATATTTCATTGATGTTATTATAATAACCAGGTAAATTAACTGAAATACTAATGGACAGTAGTAAATATTTTAACTTATTTTACAAAATTGTTGATCTACTTTTTATGAATAAAGTGAAAATAGTTAACAATAATTTTAGAAAATATTTAGTATGATCATTATGTGCTTGGAAAGTGTATGGAAAATAATGATGATGTGCTATGTACAAATAAAAGAATGTTCTATTCTGTTCTGGTAATTACATTTTAATAGTTGGTCCTTTACTTTTTAAATTACAATACTTGATAACTATAGATAATTAACTGAGATTGACAATGACATATTAGATATATGTTAATGGTAGGATAAAAACGATTTTGTTTCTTTTTTGCAATCATTTTCTTTTTGCTGAGGTTTTACGTTACAGCATCACAGTATAGGTCATTTGGCGACGTTCCAGCTTTAACTGGTGGAGGAAGACCTCAGGTGTCCTTCCGTGCATTTTTTCAGGCACGAACGGGCACCTGAGTAGAACCACCGACGTTCCGTAAGCTAGCTGGATAGCTTCCTCACATGAAAAAATCCAAAGTTCCTGTCGGCACCTGAGTAGAACCACCGACTTTCCTTAAGCTAGCTGGATAGCTTCCTCACATGAAAGAATCCAAAGTTCCTATCGGGATTCGAACCCACAGCGGTGAGGGGCAAGTGGTTTGAAGTTACGACCTTAACCACTTGGCCACGGACGCCACCCCTTTTGAAATCATAAAATAATTTGATGAGCCGTTTGTATATTAAACAATTTTGCTAGTATTTTAGGTTATGACTTTCCCAAATGTCCATGGTGTAAGTTGCCAAAAGGTGATATACAAGCACCTAATCGGTTAAATAAACACTGACAGCTTGACAGTGATAAGATTAGATTCTACCCAGGCATTGCCACATAATACTAAAACATAAGAATCATCATTTAAGTGTAAAAGGAAGACTTTGAACTTCAAAGACTTGTGTCCATTGAACACAGTCTTTCATACTACTCCTTATTAGCAAGGAAAATAAAAACAAAATACCTTCTCATATAAATAATGCAATTTTAAAGTGGTTTTCCTTCAGTAAGTAAATTATTAAAAAGAAAAGAAGAAAGGGAAAAGAAAACACTTCAAACACATACTTATCTTAAAAGAAGGAGTGTTCAAAGTTATGTCTGCCTATTTTCATAAGTTATAGGTATTTATCTATGGAAGTTTTAGAAGATATTCCATGTAGTATGTACTGTTGTAGAAGAAATGCAGAAAAGTTGAGTGTAAGTGGATTGTAATATTCAAATTGACTCCTTAGAATCAAAACCTGTTTTTTAAAATAAAACTTGAAAAATCGTGTAGTTATAAATTGAAGAGGACCACAGTCCAAACGTGTCAGATGACCCAGAGAGGAAAGACAACCAGGAGGAAGATTTTGTTCCTCCAACTGATAAACTTAAAGATAAAATAATCCAACAGGTGGAGTTTGACTTCTCTGATGCGAATATCTTAAAAGATTCTTTGTTGCATAAACATGTGAGACGAAATAAACTTGGTTATGTGAGTATAAAATTGATCACATCATTCAAGAAAATGAAAAGTTGGACTAAAGATCGTGTAGTAGCTACCAGTCTGAGGCAGTCAGATCAGCCTGAAGTAAATGAGGAAGGCAAGACAGTTAGAAGGAAAAACCCAGTACTAAAATATGATGAAACAACGCCATCAGGAACAGTGCTCGCAATAAACTTGCCAATGGAGACCCCATCGTTTGATAATATTGCTGAAATGTTTTCGAAATGTGGTGAAGTAGCAATGATACGCATTCTTAAACCAAATAAGTCTGTTCCTCAAGATATTAAAAAGTATTCTAATAAACATCCTGAAATTGGTACAACTACTTGTGCTGTAATTGAGTTTGAAAAACACGAGCATGCTAAGAAAGCTGTAGATGCAATGTGTGATTGGAGGAAAGGTTTGCGAGTTGTGCTGTTATCTGAAAACAAGAAAAAGGCTGAGAAAGTGAAAGATAAATATCAGAATAAAAAACGTGATGTTCATCAAGGAAGAGGTGGTAGAAGGAATGAAAATAGACATTTAAATTATGCCCATCGTGAGGATTCTGCAAGTTATAGCAGTGGTTCAGAACATGATCCGCCAAGTAGGCAAAATGCTTCACTGAGTCCGAATCATTTTGATGAAAATGTATTGAGTCCTACAAATAGCCCCAGATCTAATCCAAGTTCAAGTCCTATGACCAGTCCAAGAAGTCAATGTAGAAGATTAGGTCCTCACGGAAAGTCACCTTTGGCAGAGCATAGCCCTGGAAGTAGTCCGAAACCAAGTCCTAGAAGTAGTGCCGAAAGCAGCAGGAGACGTGATGACTATTCTTCAGGTGGTGATAGTACACCATCAAATCCTTGGAGACGCTTGAATGCTGCCCAGGAAATTAGTAAGAGCCCCTTATTAGGTAACAGTCCAGTCGGTAGCCCATCATCAGGAACGAAGAAGAAGGCGGAGTTAGACGGTGTGATAAGGCAGCCAAAAGGACCTGATAGTACTCGAGGTTTCTATCTTGGACGTGGGAAAAACCCATGAGCAAGTACTTTCTCTTGAATCATTCTATTATTGACATGATGGCTTTAGTTTGTTATCTCAAAATATATGATCCACGTCATGACAAAACCAACATAATGGGTTTGCGACCAGCATGGATCCAGACCAGCCTGCGCATCAGGATCCATGCTGTTCGCTTACCAACCTTATAACAAGTAGAGAAATTGATAGCGAACAGCATGGATCCTGATCAGACTGCGCGGATGCTCAGGCTGTTCTGGATCCATGCTGGTCGCAAACGCACTTTGTTGGTTATGTCGTGCAGCGTCTCAACGCAACATATTTTTCAAAAAAGAATTATTTTTATTTCCTTAAATGATTAAAGTAAATTTGTTTGATTCAATTTCCTGAAAAATAGTTGTTGTGCCATTTTAAAGCGATTTAAAGCTTATAGTAATATAGTTACAGTATCCTTATATGAAGGACATAAGTTGTAAATGAAAATTTTGATAGCCACAGATCATGACTGTTTTGTTTTGACAGCAATATTTTCCTGTTGGTTTTCCCCCTAATGAACAGGGGCATGGTCAGGCTGTATGAGATAATAATAATAATTTTTTTAAAAGTATTTGGATCATCAATTACTAATTATTAAAGTTGCCTGTGAAATGGCACCAGTTAATTTTTTTGACATTTTATAGCAATTTCATAAACAGAATTGTATATTGAATTGTTTAAATCTAAATTCAGTTACCTATTAAAAATAAGGCTCAATTGTTTTATGTTGTTTTTTAAGCGTAACAGAAAAATGAATGTTATCATATTTTGTGGGTTTTTTGTCACAATGATTTTGAGTATTTGGCACATCACTCGTCATTTGCCAAAATGTATCATTGTTTTTTTACATAGATAGGTTTGAAGTCCCTCTGCTTTCGAGATTTTTTTTTTATGAAATTCGGTAGTTAAGGCAAATTTTGCATTAAGAATTCCATCCTAAAACCCCACACTGATCACCAATTAGTTGCCATCTTAACAAGGCTGTGAATTGTGATTATAATAAACTAGTGTGATTTTACACCCTTTGCTTATCTTTATTGAAATGTTGTTGTAAAAAGCGTTCTTCGTTTTGACCGTACATTATGGAGAAAAAAAATATCACCAACAATTAGAAACTTGCCGATTACAGATAACATGAAAAATACGTTATTCAAACACACACAAACATAACATGTTTACTAATTTGCACACAGAAATTACGTCAACATTCAGAGAGAAAAAACTTTGTCAACAACAACGGTCATTTATTATGAAATTGTGCAAGTCACACCACGGCACAAAGAATGCAATGTCCAGGAAAACAAACAAGGAACATGCATTACGAAATACGTGAAATTATAACATGCTATATATTTTACAATGCTATTAACAAATAAAAAAAATGTAAAATAACCACAATTAATCAAAATAATAAGCTTCTGGCTGTTGGACATTATACAAGTGTTATTTTCAAGGCGATTTTACCAGGATGTAAGGGATTTTTTAACCTACCACATTTGATTGTGAAGGACAGTGTGTATTATGACGAAATTTGAACAAAAGGTTCATGGTCACATCTTGTGAAATGTTCATTTCAATAAAACAGGCCATCGTTGAAAACTTTAAAGATAGTTATGTTTATCTTTCGTCTTAGTGATTTTATTATCATTTTTTGTTTGTTATATAAAGCAAAGATTTGATTTCTTTGAAAATCGTGTCAGTCAAATATTGTAGGCCCTACAAGATTATCACAGTGAATTTATATCAAGTTGGTCCGTAGAAGCACTTTCCTTTGTACATAAAACTTACTGTGATAAGAACTTGAAACAGGTCAATTTTCAAACTCAAAATGTTAACATGTGGAGCCGTCGAAATCGAGTCATTTTGGACCAAGCAACTCATTTCATCTTGTACCACAATGTCAAACATGCGTGAAACAAACGGGGACACCAGGCTAATATACAAGAATATAATTTAAGTGACTACTCTTACTGCATGAACTTCCAAACCGGCCTGTGTCTATACTGGTACCATAAGTCTGCTATTAATAATTGGTCAATACATTTTAGTTCACTCAATTCTGTATTGAATTTTTTGATAAATTTATGGTTGTATTATTTATAAAGGATATTCATTTTTTCTATAAAAATTAAAAAAATATAAAAAAAAATAATATACGTACCTGCACGAGGTGAAAATAAATCCAGCATCTACATTGTATATAAAAAACTTGTATTTTCGGTTCATTATATACTTTTTCTCCTCCATTTTTGACCCTAAGATTCGAAAGACTCCTCCTTTAATTTTTTGTGCTGGCAGAACAAAGTAGTTCAGCAAGATACTAGTGAAAATACGGAAAATACGTTTCACTGCAGTAAAAAAAAACAACAACAAATTTTTACAGTGAAAATAAAAAAAAAAATCACACTATTTCATTTATAGGTATATAATGAAATCAGACACACGTTTGTTTGTTTGGGGTTTACGTCACACCGACACAGTATAGGTCATATGGTGACGTTCCAACTTTACTGGTGGACGAAGACCTCAGGTGTCCTTCCAAGCATTATTTCTGGAACGAACGGGCACCTGAGTAGAACCACCGACGTTCCGTAAGCTAGCTACATGTTCGTAATTATTACTTAAAAAATAGAAGAAATAAAATGCAAATTGAAAGGCCAAATTTCTCGTATATTGCTTCATGTAGTATTAGTTACAAGCGCAAATGTTGTCCAAAAATACTGTATATCTCCGAGGAAAAAACAAATATTAACGCAATGTCACCTTCAAATGAAGTTGACATGCGCAAACACGCTAGAAACGCGCATTAAAAATATTACAAATTAAAAAAAAACGGTACAAGTATCTCAACACACAAAAAAACCTCTCTCTTTTTTTCGTCGGCAAATCCTGTTACGGAAAGTATATAAGGGTTCAAATGAACATGCCCAAAATTAAAATTCATACGGTGCTTTAATTTCTAAGCAGGTAAGTCCAAGTTTTGTTGAATTTACTCTACGCTCAGTAAAATGCTTGCTGATTTATCAATATTTATTTTATTTAATAAAATCGGTGATTACTTTCCAAATATTAATTGGTTAAGCCATCTACAAAATTGGCTGCTGCGACGACAAATTAAAAAACTTATTGTGTATTTATTGTCATGTGTGATTCTTTATCAATGTAGTGTAAAAAATTTATGTTGTTAAAAACACAGATTTTTCACATTATATTGTTTGAAAATATTAAGTATATATATAGAGATGGCATACATGTAATTGAAAACTGAATTCAATTTTCCTTATTTTTGTTTGTTTTTAATTTGTTTATAATTTGATGATTATGAACAGTACAGAAATGTTATTTCTATTGTAGAATAAGCTCATTTTATCATGTTTATGTTTTAGATCGTTTTGGGATTTATTTTCCTTGGCAATAGATATTGAATATTTCATCGAATTGCAGTGATCGAGTTCTATCGTTACCATGGCAAAGTTGTGGTTGGTATTCCTGATGGCGGCAGTGCTATCTGTGTCTGAAGCGAAATTAAAAGGAGGCACTGGTTGTGTTGCATATTATAGGAGATACGGAAACCTCTGTTAGTAAGTAGTCAGTTTTTTCAGTATCTGGTACCATTGTTTCACGTCGGCGATATACTTGCTTAAACCAACCTTTATTCTCCTGCTGTCGAAACGTTTTGTTCTTTCCACCCCATAAGTGCCACAAATGACCGAAAAATTGCTAATTGGTTACAAAATCAATCTCATTAAAATCAGATAATCATTTTCGCTCCGTTACTCTTCGATAAGGGTAGTGGAGCGACAGATAGGACATTGGTTGCTAAAATTAATACCATTGGAACACCTAGCCATTAATTTGAATTACCAACCTTTTTTAGTGACAGTAGTTGCAACTGGATGAACTTTCGAGGCATTTATTGAAGCGCGATATAAATTATAGTGTAATAAACTACAGATGTATTTAACAATAACATATAGTGTTTTTTTCAGTTTTGATATCTTTTGCATTTTTTTTTCTATCGCTCATTTGATGGTAAAGAATCATGTAAAATTTATGAATATGTCATTCCTAGTCGTGGCATATTAACTGCGCATTTACGAATGGCTAAAGATTACATGTCCAGGGAACCAAATGCAGTCATGTTTTGATAAAATGTAGCATAATTCTATATTTTCTTTAACCAAAATGTTAACACTATTGCTTTAACACTTAAGTTTTTATAGTAATTGAATGATAGTTTTAAGACTTTTCTAGTTACCTGCACTCCAAATACAGCGCTGTCTGTTGGAGACAAAAATAGAGAATGCTCGTTGATTGGCTCATAATTTTCTGGGTTTTGTTTATTGTGACGACAAGGAAAGGGATAACGATTAGAAAAGTCATATTCAGATACTCGTACATTGGTTACTTTTTTCTGGGGTTTTATATTGTGACGACAGGGAGCATGTTTTTATTTTAGCCTATTATACAAAAGAGAAAGAGAATATCAAACACTAGGCAATCTGATTTGAACTCGCGGAGGCTACGGCCCATTGTACAAACCAGGTAGCCCCGCGTTTCGATGCTCTTGCTAATATCAATTTAAACTTATTTTACATTTTATTTACATAAGCTCCGATACGAGCAGTGTTCCACGTCCAGGGGCTACCCTACAGTATCTGATAAAAGTACAAGGACCCGGGGAGATCTGTTGCGAGGCTCTCACGTGCACTAGATATTCGTGCAACATGAGATATATAGGATGTGGGCGGAACAGCTGGAGCTCTGCTGATCTGCAATGGGTAGGTGATAATCTACAGACGCCAAAGATGCGATGCAAGACTTACGACCTCATCCATAGATCAATCTACTACAGCTTTAAAACAACACATTAAAAATACGGACATGAAAAGTCAACCTACTATAGCTTAGAGATAACACATTTAAGTTACGGACATGATTTTTTAAAGATTTTCATCCACCATTAACTCGTGAAAATTCGGTATATTTCGTGACTTTCCGTATCTGATAAAACATAAAAGACTGAATTACAGGAAGCAACAAAGAAATCTTATCATCTAAAAGCTTCATCATAAGATACGGATATTAACGAAAATGACCGAATATGTACGAGCTATTGGTGGCTGAAAACCTGGCTGATAAATAAAAATATATATATATATCTATCCGTGTTTGAAAAAAAAACTCTAAAATTTTTAAGTACTAAAGTCACATGATTTTGTTAAGGTAAATGATACATTCTTGCACATTTTGAACTTTGTTCACCATGAACCCCTTTTTGTTTCTTTTTATTAAATCTACACATAATAGTGGTGCTTACATGTATCTTTTTCTTTGAAGTATGCAAGTTTGTTAAATTTTCCCTTAATAGTTTATTAATCGACGTTTTCGTTTGAAATAAATATACTGCATCAAGATGTGCATTTGTCATTTTTTATTGTGTTTAATGTTATTTTTATTTTGAAATTATTGTTTTTGTAACATAGAGACCACAATGCTAGTATCTGCAGAGTCGAGCATTTTATAATGACAGAAATGTGTTTTCTAAGCTAAATAGGAATCAATCCACCCATTCAGGCACAGAGGCACAGTACGGACCCAAATGCCAGAAATGTTAATCACATAATTCACATTACAATTTTATTTGTCGCAAACGTGGCAAGGGGTTACGTGACTGTGCAGTTAAACAAGAGCTGTCAGTAGGACAGCAACGCTCGACTATTCTTAGTGCTTGATAGTAAGTAAGCCTTGATAATGTAAAATTTCTTCAATTAACAAGAGGGAATTCTTTTTCTTTAAATCCATGTTACAGTTATAAGCCTTGGACAGAGTCCTATTATGCTCTCAAAGAGTATAAAATTTCATCTTGTTTCAAAGCCGTATGTCAATGGACTTTTTTTAGGTAGTACAACAACTTTAACGTAAATTTTATGTCGAAAAAGGGGCATATTTCTCTTAAAATGCTTGATGCAGGTTTGGGTCATGATGGTGAACAAGTGTGCAAAGTTTCAAAGCCATATGTCAATGGACTTTGAAAATATTTGAGGTATTACAAAAACTTAAATATAAGTGGTAATGCCGACGCGGACGCTCGGGTGACTACAATAGCTTTTTACTTTATATTCTTATCGAAAAGTCGAGGTAAACAAGAGGGTCATGATGGCCCTGAAGTCGCTCACCTGTATATAGGCCCCCGGAGCGGGGCCAGTTTAAACCCTAGGGCTTTGATTTGAACAAACTTGGTAGACACCCATTAGAAGATATTTCATGCTTAACATCCAAAGTCTAGAAACACACTAGAAGATGCTTCGTGTTTAATATCTGAACTAAAAATATTCAAATATTTTCAAAGAAGATTTTTAAAGTTTTTGTATAACACATATAAGGAAAGGAATGACCCCTAGGGCGGGCCTATTTTGACCACAGGGCTTTTATTTGAACAAACTTGGTAGACACTCACTAGAAGATGTTTCATGCTTAGTATCTAAACTCTAGCTATTTGTTTTTTTTCATAGATTTTTTAAGTTTTTGCTATACACATACAAGGAAAATCAATGACCCCCCCCCCCGGGCCAATTTTGACCCCACGGCACTTATTTGAGCAAACTTGGTAATCATCCATTAGAAGATGTTTCATGCTAAATATCTTAGCTCTAGCTCTTTAAAAGATTTTTTAAGTTTTAACTATATGCATATAGGAAAAATCAATGACCCCCTGGGGCGGGGCCAATTTTGACCCCAGGGCTTTTATTTGAACAAACTTGGTAGACACCCATTAGAAGATGTTTCATGCTAAATATCTTAGCTCTAGCTCTTTGGGTTCTTTAAAAGATTTTTTTAAAGTTTTTACTATATGCATATAGAGAAAATCAATGACCCCCTGGGGCAGGGCCAATTTTGATCCCAGGGCTTTTATTAGAACAAACTTGGTAGAAACCCATTAGAAGATGTTTCATGCAAAATATCTTAGCTCTAGCTCCTTGGGTTCTTTATAATAAGATTTTTAAAGTTTTTACTATATGCATATAGGGAAAATCAATGACCCCCTGGGGCCGGGCCAATTTTGACCCCAGGGCTTTTATTTGAACAATCTTGGTAGACACTCATTAGAAGATGTTTCATGCTTAACATCTTAGCTCTAGCTCTTTGGGTTCTTTAAAAGAAGATCTTTTTAAGTTTTTACTACATGCATATAGGGAAATCAATGACCCCCTCGGGCTGGGCCAATTTTGACCCCAGGGCTTTTATTTGAACAATTTTGGTAGACACTCACTAGAAGATGTTTCATGCCAAAAATCTAAGCTCTAGCCCTTTGGACATTTTAGAAGATGTTTAAAGTTTTTTCTTTTGGTTGCCATGGCAACCAGAGTTCTGCATGGAATGGAATTCTTTGAACAACTTAGTTAAGGCTTCACACAAGGAACATCCCTGTGAAGTTTCATTATGATCTGCTTTATGTAATGGATGCTTTAATAATAAATAACAAGATATTATTTTCTGTTTACATGTATTTGAAATGACAATGTACATCAATACCTCCACTCCCTTTAGAACTCTCATGTATACTTCAAAATCATGTCAAAATATCAATTTGTACAGAAAAGAATATACATTTTCTTCCTGCAATTACATAATAACTATGTATAAGCCCATTATTTCAAATTATTGCATAGAAAACAAAGTAAAAATTTAAACATTTCATGCATACACAAGTGTATGACAGAGTTATTAAAGATTTTAATAAATACAGAAACAGTTCATCACTCAAACACTATAAAATACTTCACTTCCATCTGTTACCATGCTTGTAAGAATTCAAGGTAAATGTTACAAAATTAAATATCACTTTCTAGTAATCACACCATGAATATAATTACTGTAAAATCATTATAATTCGTGTTGCACTTATTTTCATGGTTTTTGTGGATCCAACACAATTTCATTTCTATCTGCTGTAACATTATTTTGGTTATCATTTTACTTTTTTTGTGTGCAAAAATAGACAATCTATGAACTCAAGAACCCATAAATGTGTCATTTGTGACAAAACCTCGAAATTTCGTACTCACAATTAAATGAATTTACATGATACAATGTACATGTAATTGATACATTTATATTTGAACACAAAAGGTAGCACATACCAAGGTGTTCATCGCCCCCACCCCCACAAAGAGTATATATCAATTCATATATATCTTTAAACATAATTTTCAAGCATATACCAGTCAGAACATGAAAGGGACCTAATTCCAAAATACAGATTTATCAACAAGTCATATGACAGAGACTAAAAACGTTAACAATACTAAAGACACGTGTGTTGTCTTAGAAATACATGAGCCACGCAATGACAAAACCAACATAATGCGTTTGCGACCAGCATGAATCCAGATCATGATCAGGATTCATGCTGTTCGCTTACAAACCCTATAACAAGTATAAAACCTGATAGCGCACAGCATGGATCCTGATCAGACTGCGCGGATGCGCAGGCTGGTCTGGATCCATGCTGGTCGCAAACCCATTATGTTTTGTCATGACGCGGCTCTTATATATTCTCTAGAGAAGACCATACTGATATACAGTATACATAAGAATAAGACAGGGATTACATTTTCTATACAATATATGTACAAGTTAACTTCAGTACCAGAATATAATCCCATATAAATTTAGCACTAATAAATAAGTATTGATCAGAAAAGTATTAATTCAAACACTCTCCGGTCATCTCCGTGAGCATCATTTTTAAGTCACAAGGAAAAATAGCAGCTTAAATTTGAAGTCCTATAAATCCATTTAGACACAATATTTTCCCTCCAAACTCTGGGTTACTTGAGTGTAAAAAGTCCCTCAAACAGTTTGTCCAAGTTGACCTCAGAGTAGGCATTTTTCTTCACCCATCTGTCGACTACTTTTTTCAGATTAGAGTAAGCATTGCATAGTTCTGTATCTCTCCTCACTTCAAACATTTTCTCTGCAGATGACAATAAAAATAACATATATTCCTGAAAGAATCTTGGGTATCCCAAAATCAATCAAAACATCAATCATATTTTGCACAGCTATATAAAAGTGACTATAAGACTTGATTTATATGAAAAAGTAAAATTAAATTAAATTTTCAAATTTAAACATTTTGACAATTAAATGCAAGAATTTTCTACTTTGGCCTCTGAATATAATTCATCCACATGATTTGTTTGTTTCTTTGTTTCATTTTAAGCCTTTACCTAACAGTATTTCAGTCATATAGGCTGGTAGTTTCCTAACCATCGTTCCTGGAGAGTTACACCAGTTCTAGACTACCTTCCCCGCGCTAAACTACCAAAGCATCTCCTGGGGAGACCCAACCAACCCAACCCACGTCAGAGAGGTAACTGGATTAGAAGTCATCGACTCTAACCCCTCGACCACATGAATAATCTGATATCTCGAACTTACCCAAAATCTAGAGCACTTGGTCAAGTTGACTTCTATTAATAAAATCATATTTAACCCAAATATTTCTAAGGCAAATATGTATTTTTTTACAAATCTAGTTTGATAGTCCTCTAAACATAAAGTGGGCATGTTTTAATCTAAAGCTTCAGTTAGTATCCCATTTAACTCTCTTGAAGAATTTGTTTCTTCAAGCTCAACTATGTCAAAATTTAAGCTAGAAATTTCTTGAAGAAAAATAGCAACCTTTTTCCTTTCCAGTGAGTTGTTGGGTAGCTCTATCAAGATCAAAGAGATACTGGTAGAAACACATCTGTGTGTACAACATATTGTCTGTATACTGAAATAATAAACAACAAAAATATCAGTAAAACATTATGTGCTGCAACAAAACAGTTCAATGAAGTTTTCAATAAGTATAATATTTATGAAAATAGAAATGAGCCGTGTCACGACAAAACCAACATAATGCCTTTGCGACCAGCATAGATCCAGACCAGCCTGCGCATCCGTGCAGTCTGGTCTGCATCCATGCTGGTCGCAAACCCATTATGTTGGTTTTGTCATGGCGCATCTCAGATGTGTCCAAAGAACACAGATGTCCAAACATTCAACTATTTTGTCAAGACTATGGATGGAAAGCATGACAAATGAACAACAGCAAATTTATATTTCCACTCCCTCCAAGTGGGGACATGAAGAGAAAGATGTGTACTTCAAAATTTAGTATGAAAATTTAATTCAAATGTATACAGATAAAGACTGTACAGATTAACGTAATGCATTTTTATTTCAACATATCCAGTATTTTTTATTGAGGGGTGGGTTTTCAGTGACAGCCACATTTATCAATATAGCAACTTAAGTTGTTGTTGCAGGTAGATACCCTATTTGAATTAACTAGGTAGAACAACCAGCCTAACATTAGCTGGTTTTCTAACAAAGAACCCTGACATTCCTGTAAGCGGTGTAAACCAGCTTCAGTCATTCGGCCCTTATAACAGTTCAATACAATATTGAATATGCCAGCTAAATGTACAAATAATCAGTATTATAATAGCAAACTAAATGTACATACCTCTAGTTGCATAAACCCTCTATTACATATAGGACACATGGGTCGCCCTCTCTGAAACATCAATGGAAGCTTCTGTAATCGTGCATGGCAAGCTGAGTCTTCACATTTTAACCAACCCTGTAAATGAAATACATTGAACATTTTATAAAAAATTTCTTTGAAAATAATTATGCTAATATGTGAGCAATAGATAAGAAAATACAACTACACTTACAAATACATTTACTTCAAAATGGGCATTTTCCAAATAAGTCCCATCTTATGGAGAAGTGTAAGCTACAATTATGAAAGCAAAGGCCACCAGTGTTGAGTCAATCCAGTCTGAACATTCTATTAAACATTCAAGTGTCTGATGCTCAGGTTCTGTTGTATAATAAAGTATTTCAACTTCAGAGCAGAGCATTTAATACTACATATTCGTAAGGGTAAGGCATAAGGCTCTCAAATTAATGAAAATCACCTTGAAATTATCATATTATCTTTAAATCTAAATAAATCAACATTGTTAGCCTGAAATTTCACCATACAATAATGTTCATAGTAAGACATTTCAAATAAATTTCAGTAAGAAATTTCAAATTTGCTGTAAATTTTCACATTTTTTCATTAAAACAGCAATTGATAATGATCTTATTGCTAGAACATGATCATCGGAAAACACAGTGCAAATATATAGATATAAATCAGACAACAGTACGGCACCTTATCAGACTACAAGGAAATACAGGCTGGCCTGGCTCTATACTGGTGCTGTTGTGATGCTGCTTGCATCGTAACAAGACAACAAGCCAGGATGTATCAGAGCAACACCTACCTGATAGTATGTTTTAATTTTCTGTCGAATTTCTGACGTGACTTTATTGGCTATAGCAGCACTGTTCTCATACAATTTGTAATTACACTGGTTGTTGGGGCATTTTCCAAGAGCAGCCTCCATATATATGTCCTGTTACAATATAAATTTGAATGAAAATCAACAGCACTGATTCAAACTTGAGGATTTGCTATAAAGCAAACTATTGGAGCCTGTTTTGCATTAAATCACATTTACCAAAGACATTATTCCCTATTTTTCTCTCTCAAAAATTAACTATCTTTTCTATTCCTGGGTCAGTAATTTTAAAAATCACAAAAATCCCCTTCTGTGGAGTATTTAAAGATATACTATGCTCACCTTTGGGTAAACTACTTTTACTGCAGAAATTTATTTAAATCTAGGAGATTCTAATTTTAAACAGGAGAATGCACAAACTATGTTTTCGAAGCTGCATTCCCTATTATTGGTGGACTTAATGTGATCCTTTCTTAAAACAACTGCTAGTTTTTTTTTTAAATGACACAATGTAATCATACTGTGTCTACCTAAAGTGTGAAGATTTTCAGAAAGTAAGAATAGTAAAACAACTTACAGCACCAGTCAATGGAGCATCGAGGACAACTTCCCTTCCACATGTTTCTGACGGGCAGATAATCTTCAGTCTTTCACAATCTTTGTATTTCTCCTCATCTGTGATGCTAACTCCCCCCAACAGGGCGTCGTCATCATTCTCGTCTCGTTGTTGTGCGGCATGACGATACCCGGATGCATCTAATCCTGTAAAATAATATCTATCATAATCATCGGAACACTTTTTCTATCCCTTTCCCCTTAAAACAACATTCTATTTCAGAAAAAAAAAGAAGCCATATTCTATAATTTGAAGTGGATTGGTCTAAAATGGTAACATATTTCCCTAAGTGTTTCAAATATTTATAAAAATCAATACAATATTCTCATAAAATATTTCTTGAAAAACAAGAGCTGTCACTGGAAAGTGACTTAAGACAACGAAAGAAAGCTTAGATATGGTTTCAAAAAAAATTCAAGCTGAAAATCAAGGTAGTATGCATAATTAGGCATGATGACAAACAATCCTGTATAGTTCCACTGAAATTTCCCCCATCAGATTTGGTGACGAAGCGCGTCATGATTATCGAACGGACAGTGCGATTACCATATGCCACCCTTTGGTGGCATAAAAAAAAATGTTGAAAAATTCTAAGTGATTTAGTATGAATATTTATATGATGATAAGTAATATGAGCCGCGTCACGACAAAACCAACATAATGGGTTTGCCACCAGCATGGATCCAGAACCGCCTGCGCATCCACGCAGTCTGATCAGGATCCATGCTGTTCGCTATCAGTTTCTCTACTTGTAATAGAGTTGGTAAGCGAACAGCATGGATCCTGATCAGACTACGCGGATGCGCAGGCTGGTCTGGATCCATGCTGGTCGCAAACCCACTATTTTGTTTTTGTCGTGATGCGGCTCATATTTTGTTCTATACAAATATATGTCATATTGGACTATGTATCTCATACAACATCCACATATAATTATTTCGTTATTTGTTTTATATCTGATACTAAATACTATCATTACAATTATTATCAATTTTATAATGGAACTTATACTAAAGACTAATTCACTTTAACTTCATGTAACTAAAATGTATTATAGAATTATTTTACCTAGACATTCAGCAATATGGGCAGCATCTGTTCCCTCTATGGGATCACACAACCTTGACACTACCGGATGTATCTGATGTGCCAGGTAGTACTTCACATCTGTATAACAAACACAAATTATATAGAAAGTCAATTAAATTCAAAAGGTGAAAATTCATTTCTAAACCAGTCTTATATTCCCTAGTTAGTTCTAAAAAATATATGTTAAGACCTCACAATGCATTAGTTTAGGCATGAACAGGCTCCTGGTTAGATTTAATAAATATTTCAAGCTGACTCGATAGACTCACATGACAGAAAAACTTTAAACACTCACCCATTGTTCAAAATAATTTATTTTATTAATTGGTCAAATGATATTCATACCTATTAGAATAATCAAATATTTTTATTGAATGGTAAAATAATAATCATACCTATGGGAATAATCAAATATTTTACTGAAATAATAATTTTATTATAATAATCATACCTATAACAAGTGACTCTGATTTAGCCAGTTCGTCTGGATGATAGGCTCGCTGTGATGCTGGTAGATTAGATCCATCCTAAAATTTACAACCATAGACTTTAATTCTGGTCATACATCACCATTATGCAACTTTAGGGTAGTGAAAATCTTTTAAAATATATTTCTGATGCAATAGTAAGTTTACAGACACGAGGCTTATACTCAAATAAAGTACAATATCCAATTATTGGTTTAAAGTTTCCTTTGCAACAATGTGTATTCAACATAAATTGAAGCTTATGTTAATCTCTGAAATTGATTTTTTTAGGGGGGCGGATGGATTGGTTGCACCAACACATTTTAGGTCATATGGCAACTTACCAGCTTTACTGAAGTAAGAAGATCTCAGATGCCCTTCTGTACATTTTGTCAGGAATGAATGGGCACCCGAGTCAAACAACTGACATTCCATAAGCTAGCTGAATAGCTTCCTCACATGAATAATCCTGAGTGTAATGTCAAACAACACTGTTTATGTCAAATGAACATTTTCTAGATTTATAAATGGGAGGGAGAGCTAAAGTGCCACTCTGTACATATTTTCAGGTAAGTGCTGACATCAGAGTAGAACCACAAACCACCCTAACCTAGCTCGACAATAATACTACACTACATAGCTTAAATCTTACCTCACAGACAATATAAGAGACTGTATCTCCACCTTTTAACCTCTTGCCACCTTTACTATTCAGTCGTAAAGCCACCTGTACATGTGGTAAACTCTTCTTGTCCGGATAGTCCTCCGGATTCTTTGTCAATTGCTGAAATCAAATCAATTACTTCCTTTGATTTTGGTTTTAGTGCAAGTTTGTAAAGTAAAACAAACTGGGTTCAGAATGTGTAGACATTTGTAGAATCTCTCCGCCTAAAATAACTTACCTATCATGTAATAAATCATAATTATTAAAGCAGCATGCCTTCAGATGAGCCCAAGTATGTCGATCAAAATCAAACTTGAGAAAAATGTACTTATATTTTAGAAAAAAATAAAACAATTCAAGATTCAAGTAAAATTTACATGTTTTGTGCGATTAATGACTAATTTTTTAATTTTTACGACAATATTCATACAATAAGGATTATTTTTGCATATTGTAACCTCTTTTTTTTTGATAATTCACGTTGGTTGCAAGTGCAATCGATAATGTGTTAATTGCTTCCTTTTGGTAAAAATACCTCAAAGCATTATGCTTTTTAATACATTTTCAAAATTTTCAAGAAAATATCATGAATCTGGAGGCATGCTGCTTTAAAGCTTTCCATTCTGCAAGTGCAATGAGATTGAATATCAAACATAATAAGAGCTGGTCAAACTGGCTGATGCTCCCTGAATAGGTCTTGGACACAGAGTAGTTTCTTGTTGATATCTCATGAACTTTCAGAGTTATGTCCCGGTCAAGAAAATGCAGACGGACATTCAGACAAAGCAGCGATATATGCTCTCCCTTAGGGGAGCTTAAGTACCCAGTCAACAACATAGAGGTATATATATAAAAAAATTGTGGATCAATATTACGGTGATCAACTAGTTTGAAACCAAAAAGGTTTTTTATCAGGCATACTCTGGGTATATGTGATCAGACAGGTTGATGTGAAGGTTGGCCAAGTTACATACCAATGGTACAAAAAAGGTCATTACTGCCAAATGAATTCAAAGAGTTGATCAAATTTACCTTAGTAATGAGGTATTGCTCTTGAGGTATTTTGCAGTCTCTGACCTGGTCACCGACCTCATTAAGTTTAGCATGTATCGTCTCCACAACAGTCTCTCTAGATTCACCAGACAAAATTGTTGATACAACAAAACTGAAAATAAGAATTAACAATATTATCATACAAATCACAAATGATATAAACTTTGTTTTTATTTTTTATCCATTTACTGACCTCTGAGTGGTTCACTTTTTATAATGTTTTACTTCTACTCAATGAGATCTATTGACATGCTAAATTTGATGTTGATATCTCTTGTACATTCCAAGATATGTTTGTTTGTTTTGGGTTTTACATCACATCGACACAGTATAGGTCATATCGCGACGTTCCAGCTTTACTGGTGGAGGAAGACCTAAGGTGCCCTTCCGTGCATTATTTCAGGCACGAACGGACCCGAGTTATGTCCCAGACAAGAAGCCTGCAACAGACCGCTCAACCAACAGACCACCAGCTGACTCTCTGGTATACTTTGTTTGTCAGGGGTAAAATAAGGACAAGATACCATATTCAACTTACTCTCCAACATTTTTAGACAGTCCAGACCAATCTCTACGAACAATATCCAACCCTTTTTTCTCTTCCTGTGTCACATATTTCCCATCTGACGTCTTGTGTACACTCAGTGCTGCGTACTTCTTCTTCTTCAACAGTAACATGCTCTTGTATATACCATCAATGTCGATCTCTAATAACTTGTACAGTTTGTTTACTTCAGTCTTTATCTATAATAGCAAAAAGATACATTCAAAATGAGCCGCGTCATGACAAAAACCAACATAATGGGTTTACGACCAGCATGGATCCAGACCAGCCTGCGCATCCGCCCAGTCTGATCAGGATCCATGCTGTTCGCTATCAGTTTCTCTACTTGTAATAGGGTTTGTAAGCGAACAGCATGGATCCTGATCAGACTGCGCGGATGGGCAGGCTGGTCTGGATCCATGCTGGTCGCAAACCCATTATGTTGATTTTGTCATTCCATTATTGTGTGATAAATCTAAATTAAAATTGATTCAAAATTAAACATCCGGTCATAGTTAAATAATGGGTTGAAATAATTTGTCCTAAAGGTAGGATAATGTAAATAAAGTAGTATTTTGAATTTCATACAAAATATTAAATCACTATAATTTACTCATTATTGAAATGCAAAAAAAGCTTGAAATTTCATTGAACAGACCAGTACTGAAATTATAGTTTCAAGATGAAGAATTTGGCAGCCAACGAAAAGTAACATACCTTATTT